TCTGCGTCTGCTAAATTAGAAAATTGACTTCCTTGTCCGGCTTCTGGACAGGGTTCCTGCACACTTTTTAAAGTAAAATTTAAGGCTTTTTAAGACCTTTTTAAGACCTGAAGAAATCAAAATTAATACCATACATTAGGGGTGTGCGATATTGACAAAAATATATCTCGATATTTTCACGTTTTGTTGATAAACACAAAACAAAAACAAAATCAGTAAAATATCAACTAATTTTTATCAACAATAATTAGTTGATATTTTACTGATTGTGTTTTTGTGCTGGTGCCATGGCTGGTTTAGGCCTGTTGTTGACAGCAGACTCGCGGAGATATTTATATTTTTCATATTCTATGCAGTGGTCAGTTCACAGCAGTGACAGAAATTATTAAGTAATGTGCAATATTTTCCACCTTAAATTGATTTCCAGGGCATTTTCACCTATTTATGGAGATTTTTTTTCTAAACTTATTTAGAGTTATGCATCACGTGCATCACATATATACAGTAATTATACTTATTTATACAATAATATTTCATTACACAATAATTATACAGTACCACTGTTAGCAGTCAAATTAAATCATTCAATCAAAAATCCATCTTTGCAGTGCAGAGTAGACGCAGAAGCAGCCTTAGAAGTGGCATTAATATATACACTCCATTTACAATTGCATAAATCAAGCTATAAGGTTTTTAAAAAAAAATCAATATTCAATATTTAAATGTGAAATGATTTCTAATTTTTTACTTTTAATATGAAACTAAAACCGCCAGTAGGCGGCGGCAAATCGCTGTCTTAATAAGCGAGTTGAGGGAGTCATTCATTCAACCGATTTGTTCAAACGGGAAAGAAGCAAGTGATTGAATCGTTAAAATGACTCGTTCAAGACGCGGATTTCCTTCAAGAAATCATCGCTGTCTGTTGCATTGAGACTCTGCTATGGTTTCATTTTGAAATTCTAGTCGGCGAAATAAAGGGAAAACAAACAATATCGATAATGTTATGGCTAAAAACTAACTCACAATGTCACTTTATTTTTAATTTAACTATTGTATAACATAAATATCACACTTGTGCACGGGAAAACGGCACTCTTACTGATGTGATATTCTAATATAACAACATGATATAAATATAAGGCAAAAACTAATTTGGGGACATACCTATAACCATAATAAATACATGTCTATGCCTATAAATGCACACATCACGCCGTGAAAACACGAGAGACAAATGCGATGTCAGCTCACACTCACAGTGCCTCGTCCATCGTTAAAAGAATAGAATATCACAATAGATAATACACATCGCACACCTCTACGCACATAAAGAATTAACTTACGACTTAACTGACATTTGCCAACTTTCTTCTCTCCTCCTCTCCTGTCTCGCGTGCAGGAGACGGACGTTATTCTACCGCGAATGTGACACGAATTGTCACGTGAACAAGCAAATCCACAAAGATAAAAAAATAATACGTACGCAAATTAGATGGTTTTAATTTGGAAAACATTAAGATATGACTGAGTCGAAGTGTCATCTAAAATTTAAGACCTTTCATACCTAAAAATAAGACTTTATAAGACTTTTAATGGCCTTAAATTTTAAATATCTAATTTAAGACATTTTAAGACTTTTTAAGGACCCGCGGGAACCCTGCTGGAGAATCTCCTGATGAACGTCTCGACCGGATCGGGACCGGATCGGAAACGGATCACAGTGAAGCGGTTCGACCCAGAGATCAAGAGGCGTCAGAACCAGAATATATCGGCTACATGAAAATAATCCAAATAGCGCACTAATTAACTAAGTATACATTTAGGTCATCTGCAAAAATACATTTTAAATAATAAATTGAGTAGAACAAACACATTTTGATTTAAATAAAAACATTTGATAAAAGTAAATTACATTTGTAAAATATAAAATTAAACTCATTAACTAAATAAACAAATACATTTTAATAAAACCTTACAATAAAATTTGATTTAAATAAACTGCAGCAGATGAGCGGATGGGAATCGTGTTTTTGGTGGAAAAAACCTTGAACTGAAATTTCTTTCGTTCATCATTTCTCAGGAAGGAAAGCATGATAAAGGTGTGCGTGTGCGTGCGTGTGTGTGTGTGTGTGCGGATCAGAAAGGAATCATCCTGGTCGAGTGTCGAGTTCCTCGTTCCTGCGGGCGAAGCTGAAGCCGGACACGGAGATCAGTTTCCCATCAGAGGCGTTTAACTCCTGATGTTCGACTGCGCCTCGGTGGATCACACACACACACACACACACACACACTCCTGTCCAAACCCTCGCATGTGAATCCGCTCACCTTTAAAACACAAGACAACACAATCTGTGTGTCGGAGATCTCACAGGAACAAACACCTCGCTCCTTTGTGTGATCAGAAAGAGTCTGTTGTGATCTCATGCTTCTAGAGTAACATGTGGAGCTCGGAGCGATTCCCACACACACACACACACACACACACACACACACACACACTGAAGTATTGCTGATGTCAGACTCAGATTGAACAGCGATGGAACGCTTTATTGCTTCGTTTGAAGATGATCTCAGGGCAAAAACACGGATGTGAAAGTGAGAAAACCATTCAAACATTCCTGCATTATTACCCAGAATGCAGCAGCCAAAACAAACTGACGGTTTGATTGTTTTCAGATGGAGAGTATATCTAATGACCTTTTCCTGCAATAAAGGTGTTTTGAAACAGATCATGTGATGTCATTTATCTTACCTCAAGGGCATCCAAGATGTAGGTGTCTTTGTTTCCACAGTATCTTCAATTTTGACATTTTTTGGTCAAACCGTTGTTGTCTATCAGTCATATAATGCAGGTATGGGGGGTCCACCTCAAAGAGCAGCACAGACAAGTCCAAATTAAACATGATTTAATGACTCGTGAATGTAAGTACACATCGATCGCCTAGACACAAAACGAGCGGTTTGTGTGAGAAAACCAACAGTATTGTTTTACCTCTTGTTAACAGCTACGTCGAAGTCGAACTCTGAATCAGATGTCCAACTGGACCGAACTGAACCGTGAACGTTACACCGGAAGTGATCTCTCGCGCGTCTACCTCACGCATTGTTTACACGGAGATTTAGGAAGTTTTACCTTTCACTAAACATATTTAGATATATCGAAATCACAACGAGATTGTTAACAAGAGGTAAAAACTATATAAATACTGTTTTCTCACACAAACTGCTCGTTTCGTGTCTTAGGCCATCAGGCTCGTGAATGTAAGCTTACATTCACGAGCAGGGATGTAACTGTAGTGGAGGCTAAACTCACGTAAACGCCGTTTACGCACAGGTCTCCCAATATTCGGAAATAGCGTTTACCCACCTCAAAAGTGCGTTTATTTACCTCTCAATTGCATTTATCCACCTCTAATTATCCCGTAGTTCCTAAGACATTTTAAATTAAGCTTATGTCGTTTCCATATTAATCATTATTAGTTTCACAGGTTGTTAAACCATAACGAACTCTTTCAGTGTTGTTGAGTATTGCTGACGGTAAGGTTACACTGTTGATGCGCAGAAATATACATAAATGAGCGCAGCGCACACAACATAACGTTACTGCCTATAAAAATCTAAATGTGGAGTTTTTATACTTTTAACATATGTTAAGCAACCTCAATTTTTTTCCTGAACGATTGAAAAAGTGACATTGATTTACTACAACAGTTCAATAAAGAGTTAAAATTAATTCACTTACATTTTAGATGCAATATTGGCTGTTTTTGTTCTGTTTCAGCAGTGAAAATAGTTCCAAACTAGCCTGACTAACGCCAGACCCAGACCACGTATAAAACGTGGTCTGGAAACCAACCACACGTTCAATTTCTCGAATTTGAGGCGTGGTTTACGAATGCCCAGAGCCGTATTATTGGGTGCTACAAATGTCTATCAAATGCGCCTGTACTCCCTACCCGTTCTGTGATTGGTTCCCTTTTTCAGGGGAAAATTTGGTTCATGGTATCCAGACTGCCTAGCAGAGCGAATTAAATCGAGCCCGCTGCGTCAAGGCCGAATGGGGAAACCCAGGCTAGTTCCAAACAAAAATCACAGCAGAACCACGGCGCATGTCACAGGGACACTCAACCTGTTTTCATTACTGAATTATTCAGCATCTTGAACGAATCGATTGAGTCAAAGATTCAATGAACCATTCATAAACATCAGTCTCATTCTTGAATGAATCAGCCGTTTGAACGAATCGTTTGAATGAATACTCGCCTGCCGCCACCTACTGGCGGTTTGGTGTTAAATGTTTAAAAGCAGTATCATTCTTTCCAACGTTTCTGATATGTAAATTTAAATCAATTTCATAACATTATTTTATGCAATTGTAATTTTTCTGTGTAATTTGATCAGCCCCTAGGGTAACAGCCCTATAGTCTAGTGTCAATTATTCAAAATAATTGAATTTATTGATCAAATTTAGGAATTTAAAATGAAAGATGAAGCATACATTCAATAATATTGGGGGAGAGGATGCCCTATAAAGGTGCATATATTACAATATCGTGATTTAAATATCAAAGCTGATTGAACACTGATGAGAATATTGTTTCAGAATAAATTAACAAAAATCTGAACAAGCAACTTTTTTACTTGGAATCGAAGGACAGGCGTATAAAAAGGCTTAATGTCGAGCCCTCTCTATGTCATCAGGATACAAAGACACTGACAGTGGCCCACCTTACCTGTAACCTGTCACATGGTCCACCAGAATTTATAGTTTACCCACTTCTTTTTTTATAACCAGTACACCTCTGTTCACGAGTCATTAAATCATGTTTAATTTGGACTTCTCTGTGCTGCTCTTTGAGGTGGACCCCCCATACCTGCATTATATGGCTGATAGACAACACCGGTTTGACTGAAAAATGTCAAAATTGAAAATCCTGTGGAAACAAAGACACCTACATCTTGGATGCCCTTGATGTAAGATAAAACATATCAAAAATGAATTTCAAATTTAACTATCCCTTTAATATTCTCAAGGCACAATTTGATGACATCATGTGGAACGGGTCAGCGACTGATGAACTGCTGCTCTTTCTTTAGGCCTACTGTGTACTTACTGTTCATTAACTGTGTTTATTTACCGTTTACTACTTTACACATGTTGTAACTTACGACGTAAACTTACATTTACTTCATAACACATGGAATATGCAATATCGTGTCACTCTTTAGGAATCTTACAACAGTTCCCACACGAGCGATTTATAGATTATCATGATAGAATATGCTAATCAATGAGTTGTAGATGATAACTCCACATCTCTGACACTCATCCGTCCGTCACTTCTTCTTCAGTCTCTCCATCCGACTCCGCTTTCAACATAAAAGACTAAATGTTTATGATTCTTTCAGAACGTGTGTGAGGTAATCAGAGCTGCTAACACACACACACACACACACAAACTCTTGAAGCTCCGCCCCCTGTGTCAGGAGCAGCAGCTCATTTGCATTTAAAGGGACACAAACAAATCAACGTGTTTTTACTTTTTTTTTACATGTTTTTACTTTAACTTGCTGTATAAAATGATCTGCTAAAACTTCACTCACACACACACACACACACACACACACACTCTGGGGACAACAGAGACTTATTGTACATCCTGTAAGAAGGTGCATTAAGATTTGACAGTTCAACATGCAGGCTGATGTCTATGAATCATTACTGTAGTGAACACAGCAGAGGATCGTCCAGTAATATAAACCTCATGATTCCCCTTATTAAAGGAAATATAGTTGTGTTCATTATAATATGTTCATTAGCGGCGCAGACGATCCTTCAGATGCTCAGTGTGAGGGAGCGGATGCTGCCGGCCGGGATCTTGGCGTCTGCAGTCTCTCCTCGGATGCGGAAGATCACGCGTGTGCTGGACGGGATCGTTGCCGTGGCGATGAGCGGTTTCCCCAGCCAGCCCTGCGCTCCTCGCCGGTACATGGAGACGGTGACCTGCACACACACACACACACACACTCAGCCTTCACTCCACCACACGTGTTCCAGCAGGCGTAAACACTGCAAGTGTGTCTAAAACTTTTGATTACTTGATGGGACACACTTATAGTCTTGCAAAAAATGCAGACCTTTTATTATTATATTTTCAATACTTTGCATTTTAAAATAGACTTCTACATGTCTGTTCCGTAGCTAACAGAAGACACACATTTACAATTGTGGTGGTTGTAATGCAGGGATAAAAACAGGCCTACACACACCATACTCATACACACTAGAGGATGACACGGGAGTGGATTTTCACTCCTGTCCCGTCCCACTCCCATAGAAAGAAATCTTGTCCCGTCCCACTCCCAGACCAAAGTTTAAAAAATAATCCCATCCCATCCCGCTCCTGGTAAATTGACTCCCACTCCCATCCCACTCCTGTTTAAACTGACTCCCACTCCTGTACCGCTCCCATATATATTTTTTCTTCAATTAATGTTTAGTTAATACATAGAATTTGATTTAATCTGCAATTCTGCATCCTCTCCAATCCATCCTGTTTTAGACCAGCTGCTGAGCCCCAGTTTCTAGATTTTCTCCAGAAAATGGAAGACAGTAAATAAAAGAAAAACAGTACATCACACCATGTCTACAATTTAATAAACCCAAACAGCACATAAAGCTGAATTTTACTCATTTATTGTTGAGTAAACAATACATTTACAGTTTACATTTATAGTTTTTTTTAATTACATTTTAAACGATTTTCATCAATTATGCTCTTGCATAATGAGACAAATTTTAGTTATATGTTGCTGTGTAGGCTGCAGCATGGCTTATTCTTTCCTGAATTTGCGTGCCTCTTCAGACCGCTCATCCCGGAATCACTTGCTACTTGACTAAATGGGGTCACACACCGGACGAGAAACTTTAAAATTCGAACACATTCTGTGTCTGTCCGCGGCGCCCAGCAACGTCTCAGGACCGTGTTCAAAATCCTGCTGCGCCACAGAGCGCCATTTACATAGTTTTATATAAAATTTAAAGTATTTTTGTCTCAAATCGTTGCTAATGTATCCTGACTTCACCCTATGCAGTAATATACATTTAGTTTTGCATTCATTTACAGAAATCAGCTGCTTGAATGACAATTGCTGATGTTATTGGATTTTTCATTTGAGATTTCATTCAATTCATTCAGTGAACGGATGCTCTGAGGTAAAGTTTTCAGACTGCAGACTCAGTAATGATTGTATTTAATTGTACAGTACAATCTAACATAGAACAGACATTATCTTCATTTCATGTCATTAAACATAACAATATTGCTGGCCATACACTGATGAGAAAGTGCGCGTCCAGTGTGCGATACGTTACCTCGAGTTGTCCTAGACACGGCGCTGCGCTTCTCGTCCGGTGTGCGACCCCCTTTTATGCATGTCTTACAAGCAGCGTACATCGTGCTATCACCGTCACATTCTACTCTCACATACTTAATTTTTCAGACTTTCCGACCCGTTCTGTGAACTTAATAGACATGTCATTACTTCTGATTTTGCGCTGTAAATCATTTTTTTTTGCCACATCGACTTCTCCGCGGCTATTAGCTCCCTCCATCACTGCTCTCCGGCGGTAAGCCGTGACAAAAAGCACTGATGGCTTCTGGAACAGCTGGGTCGTGTAGTTATTTTTTAATTTCGCTACATTTTAGGCGTATTAAAAGGAAACTACAAAATGGTGCATTTACTTTTTTCTTTTTTTTTTGTCGTCTTTGCTATTGGTTGATTCCCGCTCCCGTCTGCTCCCGTTAACCATTTATCCTGTACCGTCCAAATCCCGTGATTAATAGCAAAGATGACTCCCATCCTGCGGGAATCCCACGGGAATCCCGGGACCCGTGGGATTCCCGAAAAAATGTCAGCCTCTAATACACACCAATGACATGTGCAACACGACGTTTCTACTACCGATTATATGCATCTAATTAGTTTAAATGACAGTGGACTGCACTGAAGCCGACAGACGCCTGTGACGAGACGACTCAACGCCGGCGATGTGTCATGCCCTTAATTAAGACATGATTCATTAAATGTATTTTTCCATGTACTTTTCTGAAATGCACTTTCTGTGCCGCTGCTTTGAAACGATATGTATTGTGAAAAGAGCTAAACAAATACATTTGATTTGAATAGTGTGTGTTTAGTGTGCATTAAGGGCACTTTAGGGACATTCTTGCACACACACTTTCTGTCGCACGCGCTCGCCAGTGGCCAAGACCACACGTGTGTGTATTTGGACAAGCCATGTGTAACACTGAGTCTGCTGAGGGTCGTCAGGTCACGAGACCCTGACTGTGACCTCTGACTGTGACCTCTGTGGGCTCGTCTGCACGAAACACACTGAACCGACATTCATGTGAACACACACTCATTCGAGAACACACACTCAGAAGCCGGATCTTCTTCACGGAGCGTCACATAATGGAGGAAACACACTTGAGCATGAAAGACGAGGCCGATTTGAAAAGCAGATCTGTGGATTACACTCATGAGTCCCGGCACTCGTCTCCGGGTCCGGTGTGTGTGTGTGTGTGTGTGTCCCACAATGGCCACTTAATGAGATTCACACATCCACAGATAATAGACGCGTCGATCCGAAGGAGTATTTCCAGCCTCAGGATTAAAACCTCTCTCTTTTCTCTTTTCATGGCTTGATTTTCTTTCATTCTTGATGCCACAATTTTTCAATTATGTTTTTTCTATCCATCCATTCTTTCATCGGAGGAGAAGTAAATTGGCAAAGGGTTTGTTAATGGAGACGGAGATCAGCGCTTGCTGTGTGTTAAAGCTCTTTTGACATGAAAAAACACACACAAACACAAAAAGCCAAGAGACCTTCACATGCATGTATGTGTGTGTTTTATAATTGGCCTTCTAATGCAGCTAACCCACACTTAAACATGCCTGTAATCCACACACACACACACACTGCACACTTGTCTTGTTCTCCGGCTCTAATATCCAACCTTCTTAAACTCGAAGTGTGTGTGTTTCACTCTCAGCTCTTCAGATTCATGCCGGATCGAATTTGACGTCACAAACATTGGTAATGGCATTAGACTATCCGCACGCACACGACTGCTGCCCGGTAACTCCATTTAGCAGCCAAATCGGGTTTAAAGACCTTATTGATGCGCAGTGTTATTAAGTGTGATTATAAAACAACAGACAATGAGGCAGAGTGTCCGCTAACCGGTTTATCTCTGAGCACAACAGATGGAGAAGCTCCGCAGGACGAGGAACGGCAGATAAAGACCATTTCAGATAAATATCAAAGCACAAGTTCTGATAAAAACATGGCTAATCGCATTTTACAGCAAATGAGGGATTCAAGGAGAGTGACAGATTTTATTGGCAATCAGGAAGTAGATGTTCATTAAAGGGCCTAATTTCTAGCGAAAACACTCCACACGCCTGACATCGCTCAAACCCAGCGGCCGGTCAGTGTGGGTCAGTTAGCTTAGCATTTAGCAGCTAATTATCTGAGGGCAAAAAGCGTCTCTTTCTGGCTCTGACAACAACATTCAGTCAAGCGTCACATCAGTTCTACATTTAAGGACATTTTTAGAGACTCCAGAAACATCTCTAACACTCACCTGCGATCACAAATCTGTTCATACACTTACTTCCATTTTCCCACTTTAGCTACTCTAAATGATTAACAGACACAAGTGGGTAAACTGATGTAAACTTGGATAAACGAGACACGATGAGACCACAAACCTGTCGAGATCGACTCACGCATTTCCCCATCCCCATCATCATCATCCTCATCCTCCTCCACAGAACGCGCTTCCATCTGCATAATGAAGTGAACTCAAGCTCAACTTTTCAAGTTCCTTCAGTGAAACAAAGCGATCAGACGAGGCTAATGAAATCAAATGAAAGCGTTAATAGAAATTAGCTGAACACACAGATAATCTGAGCGCCCGATCAAGTGCAGCCGCTTCAATCTGCAAGTCAACCAACAAAACTATCGGTCAGTCGGTGGATGATCAAGTGTGTGCCGACAGTAATAAAAACGATCAAAAAAGAGTGAAAGGAGATAATCGCCATCCTTCAGACAAATATATTCAAAATATGCATAACATAATCTGACCTCGATTATACAATGCGCAGTGATTATGTTCACATTGGCACTCGTGTTGGTGTGTGTGAGGATCTGGATTTCCTGAAGGGCTGTTGAAGCAGAACAAGCACAGGTTTGAGGAGCCTCAGTCGTTAGGATAATTACACGAGAGTTTAACACACTTCCGCTTCACTGAACACATGCAGAAACACAAACATTGGCACTTTTATGGCCAAAATAGAGATTTCAGTGCAGCTTATTTTCACTACAAAACCTGTAACATATTGTAACTTCTAAGATATAGAAGTTTATTTCAGAAAATACAGTATCGTCCATACGTGTTACATTTTTAAACAAAATATTTTTGTAAATGTGTAACAGGTTTTGTAATCATATTGTGTAGTTGTGCTACGAGTCGATTGTTTTATTTATTTATTTTCTTATAATCCTTATCCAGACTTTCATACAAAGAAATTATGAACATATGCAAAAACAAGAGAGAACGAACCAAACATTAATAACTGTTTGCTTTTTGTATTCCTGTGCAACATAATCCTGTCAGATAAACGCCTTCATCAAGTTTAGAGTTTATTTAAAATAAATATTTTCTGCATATTTTGATATGGTTTCATTGAGCGTTGTAGGGTCATTAAAAACAGACATCTCCTCCGGACGGCTGAAAGCACACTGCTGTATGGGTAAGAATCGTGTCCGAAGAAAAACACCAACAGAGAATAACCCGAGAGTAAAACCTCTATCAGCTGTTCTCGACTTACTGAAGCAAAGCCACTGAGAAAATGATCAAAATAAAGTGTTTTCCTTAAAACAAACAATAACTAAAATGTAGCAATTGGGTCCGAAATATAAACTTATTTTAAAGTGAAAACACGTGAGTTTATTCCTGATTTATTCATAAACTACCTTCATTTTCATTGATTCTTCAGAAAACAAGACTTAATATGTTCAGTCGTTGTGTTTCTCCAGTAAATGTGATTTAGGAATATTTCGATAAAACAGGACTTGATGAGATGAAGCGATGTTGTGTGTGTGTTCAGTGAGATGTGTGTGTTATTGTGGATCCGGTGGAGCAGAGCTGTGTCTCGTCCGCTCTCTCTTATCTGATGAAACGTCATATTTCATCAGTTGTGTGTGTGTGTGTCACCTGAGGCGTGTGTCCCAGCAGGCCCCACAGTGTGTCGGTGATGGCGCTGCCGGCGCGGCTGAACTCCAGCTGGTCGGTGTCGTGTCGGTTGAGCGCCAGATGTCGGCAGCTCTGGAAGTCTCCGCTGAGTTCCTGACCGTCGCAGAGCAGGAGCAGATCCCAGGTTCCCATCAGCTCCAGGTGCTCACGCAGCGCACGCATCTGCCCGTACGACAGGTGACCTGCACACACACACACACACACACAGATCAGCACAACACTGACAAAACACTGAAATTTCAGCTCAAATTCCCCTTAGATAATCTATTATAGCTTGGTGTCCCTTTAAATGCAAATAAGCTTTAGCTCCGCCTCTGTTCAGAAGAGGGCGGAGCCTTCACACGAGCTTCAGAGACTCCGGCATTAACAGCACAGGCGGATCTGACTGATCCAGGATCAGGAGTGACAGCAGCTTTAGCTCCGCCTTCCGGAGAGACTCAGGGAGAGCTTCTGGATGTTAGCGGAGACGTTTGTGTAGTTGTTGTGGAGAAACACTGATCATCTCATCATCATGTTGAACTCTTCAGTTCCTGAGTCAGTGTTTATAAGACAGCGCTGGTCACATGTTCTGCTCAATAGTGTTCAGTGTCGTCTGTGCTGACCACAGAACAGTTTCAGGCTCAGCTGGATCTTCTCCAGTGCGTTACAACTGGGCTCTGATGGCGCTCACCCAACCCAACGTCACTGGTGTGTGTGTGTGTGTGTGTGTGTGTGTGTGTGAACATGCAGATTAAGGGCTGGGGATATTATAATTAGATCCTCTTCAAACGGCAGAAGCGAAATCTGATTGGCTTATTCTATAATATGCTCTCAGAGAAACACTCGCCAGAACACAGTTACTGGGTTTCACTGTTCATGTGTTCTGGTTCAGTAGAAGCGCCGGAATACAGCACACACACACACACACACACACACACACACACACACACACCTCTTCTCTAGCTTGCTTCCTAACAAATGTTTGGGGTTTGGACTGCCGGGTTAGTGACCCGAGGTCCCCGATTATCTATAAATCATCTTTTTACTCCCTTTTATATATTTTTTTAATTTGCTTTTATTTGGTGATTATTGTAATTCCTGTCTGGGTAAAGCACTTCCATGATGTGGTATGAATAAGCGTGCCTTGCCTAATCTGGTTGTGTAATAAACTGAATAATGGCGATGCTCTGACCTGAGATCCAGGCCGGGGTGAAGGCGTCGGACAGCCAGGACACGTATCCGGGCCGGAGCGAGTGCAGGAACGCCTGGACCTCGGCGCCGGACACCAGCAGCTCGTGCCGGACCTCGCAGTCGGCCGACAGCAGCAGGACCCGCGGGACGAACAGAGCCGGACGCAGATTCTGCCCGCAGCGCACCATGTGACTGCAGAGGAGTCGGGCTTTCACCTGCACACACACACACACACACACACACAGTTTTGGGGGAATTCACCTTTGGCTAAGCCCCGCCTCCCTTAGTTACTGTTGCTACTGTTGTTTTTGTACAAGTAACTAGTGACGCATTACTTTTACATTTACAACAAACAACAGTCTGAGTTCTCCGATCCGATCATCAGTTCCCCCGTGCTGACGGACCGTCCTCGCTGCGTCAACATCATGCCTACTGTACAGCAAGAGTTAGTTAGCATTTAGCATTAGCAATCACATGCAAAAAACTGGGAAACGGCCTGAACTGGTTTATTCTGAAGAGCTGAACTGGTTTGTCTGAGGAACTAAACTGGTTTGTCTGAGGAACTGAACTGGTTTGTCTGAGGAAGGGAAGGCTGGTCTGACCGTGATGGCCTGAAGCGCGTCGGGAAGCTGCTCGGCGGAGACGCTGCTGAGGTTCTGTTGCTGCGACCGGACCCGAGTCTCGCTCCGGGCCAAAACCGAGCCGCTCCACGTCTTCAGGTCGATACACACCACGCCGTGACCTGAAGCGACACACACACGTGTGTGAGAGGGTGTTTGACGGCTGGTTCTGACAGACCCGAGGCTCGGGACGCACCTGTGAGCAGCACCAGGCTGATCTCGTCTCGGCCCGTCTGGGACTCGTTCGGCACACGCAGGTTATAGAACATGTCCTGCTGTCGGAGGCCGGTGACTGTCCTGCGGGAACACACACCAACGACACTCATACCAGCACAGATCCGCCGGGTCATCACGGGTCAGCCTGAGGCTAGAGTAACATACTGAGAAAACATTGCTTAACACACTCCAGGGAAAGGGGCGGAGCCTGAGGGCTGTGATTGACAGGGCACTTTAAACTCTCTAGTAACTCCAGCAAACCATAATGGTAAAGACTTACACACACACACACACACACACACACACACACATATATGAATATGTATATGTGTAATTTATTCCTGTGATCAAAGCTGAATTTATCATCATTACTCCAGTCTTCAGTGTCACATGACCCTTCACAAATCACTCTAATATGAGGATCTGTAATAATATTTCACAATATTACTGTTTTTACTGTATTTTTGTCAAATACATGCAGTCTTGGTGAACATATGAGACTTTCCTAAAAATGTATATATATTATTGGTTTATATATTCTCACCGTACATGCTGTAGAAACTGGCAGTGAGCGGGTTGAGTCCGGTTCTGTGCGGTGCTGGTGTTTCCGGGTCTCTTGGGCCCTGAAGGAACTAAAAACTGAACCATCTGGAACATTCTTCTGTCGAATATCTGAAAGCAACCATAAACACACACACATAATCAGAAAAAACCCATCAAACACTCCAAGACACGTGAACGGGCTGAGATGAAGACTTCACGAGACAGGCGTCCACTGTGACCTACAGCACAGATCCTGGAGCAACAGCTGACTGGGCGAGGGGTTAGTTAGCTAGTTAGTTAGGGTTAGTGAGTAACATGCGGAGCTGCTGTCACACTGACCATGAGCTGCTGTCTGTCCCTGATTCTGATGAAGAACTCAATCTGAAGAACATGTGAGCAGAGCCGAAACTCGATCCAGGAACAGTTTCACAATCAGCGCTCCCTGCCTGTCTCTGTCTGTTTATCTGTCTCACTGCTCCTGTCTGTCTGTCTGTCTGTCTGCATCTGTTTATCTGTCTCACTGCTACTGTCTGTCTGCATGTATTGGAGCTCTGATGACGTCACGCCTGCTAACACCAGTATAGTATATGGTACTCGATCTGCCACATTTCTAAATAGAAATTGATACATTTCTGAAGTCTTGAAGATTAAAAACAAGAAACGTGACAGATTCTGGAAATATTATGATGATATTTTCAATACCACTGATGCATGAGGTTTCCTCTGTGTACGTCTTTTATTTATTTATTTATTTTTTCTCTTTATATATGTGAAGCTTTATATATACTTGATATAACATGTCGGAGTTCTATGTGTTCTGTGCTTTATACGTGCTTATTTGATACATATTCAATAAAAAAGGGAGAAATGTTACTCGATCTGCTGTTTCTGTGTTGTAACTGTAATAATGGCACTAATGATAATAGAGTTTGACTGACTCTGAGTCTCAGCTCAGACACAAACAGCTTTTATAACGCGATGTTCCTGGATTTTCGTCCATCACAGAAATGAATGTTTCTCCAGACTTTTGTTCGCTCCGCCGCTGCACAGGCATAAAAAAGAGGATATTAGTTTGGAGATGAAGAATGTTTAATTTCGGTGTAAATACACACAAAGCGGTCCGGGCTGGCGATAAGAATCAGAAGCTCAAACAGACTCGCATCGACAGCTGAAGCTCAAACCGAAGCGAATGAACTCAATAAAGAGCAATAAAGCGTTTCAGTGACCTGCACTTCAGCGGCAGATCTCGCGATAACGGCGCGCGGGAACAGAGGAAGCGGGAGCCCGGCCAATATCAGCTGAAGTCCCACACAAAGCCTCCCGACAGGATTTAATATTGCTGCAATCAGTGAACAGAGTCAATTATTACGAGTCCTTTATGCTGCGCTATCAGAGAGAAACGTCACTCAGAGAATATGATTATGATTCTGACGATAAATAATAAACTTTACACACAATAAACAGCGAATCACGTCAGAACACAGAACACACTATCAAATGATTTAGATATTCGCTCTTTCTAATTATTACCTGTATTGTCCTGAATTATCACTAATTAAGGATCATTCTAGAACAATTTTAATGATGTCTGTATTGTTCTTCAGATGAGGACAATATTCTGTCGCGCCTGTTTGATGATGTATGCAATCTTTATAATCATAGTTTACGGAAGAAAAACCTGTAAAAATATACATTACACACTCGAAAATGTTTACTGTTGCATAAACTACATGTTGGAGATTAATAGGCTAATTTTATTAATCGAGCCGAGGACACATTAAACTGATCAAATTTGGACAGTAAAGACATTTATAAAAGACCCTATTTCAAATAAAAGCTGTTCTTTTGGACGTCCTATTCGTCAAATAATCCTGAATAATAAAATGTATGACGGTTTCCACAAAAATATATGAACTGTTTTCGTCATTGATAATAATTATAAATGTTTCTGCAGATTAATAATTTTAACTCACTGTAATGTTTCATCTTTACGTAAATGTTAAATATTACCGAGATAAACATAAATGATTTATGACTGAGTGCACTATTGTGTTAATAATGTTGAATCTTCTCTGATGATGTGGGCGGGGCAACCTGTCAATATTACGAATACGAATATTTCGGACTCACGCCGCCTTCACACTGGCAGTTGAAATCAGCTCCGATGCGGCTGCGAAACGACCGGAAGTCATTCATTTCCTATGGAGATTCGCAGACCGCATGCGAATGGGTCCGAAACGGGTCCGACCGAGTGCGGTGCGAAGAAAATCGTGTCCGTTGGTCATCCGGATGCGTTTAAAAATTTGAACTCTTGCGAAAAGCTACGGACGGTTCCTATCCGACAATTCCAGCGGAAGTTGACCGTTGCTATGGTACTGATAAACAAACCTGAATTATTAACTTTTAATAAAATAAATATTGATTTTATAACGATAAGTTGTGATGTCATTTTTTATTTTCATGACTTTCTAACGTTTATAAGGGCATTTAATACAATTAAATTAAAGGTAGACATTGAACTATTGACCACTATATCACATTTTTTAGCCGACCTGACATGTCAACGTCCTGAGCAACTTTCCTCACGCAGCATAACCCTAATCAGAGAGATCATACAGAACTGACAGAATCAAACTTTAATCTCTCCGCCATTTTTGTTCTACCCGCGTCCGACGCTTTTCACTGTGTACGACGTCCGTTGGGAACGTATTGCGTATTACGGAGCTGATTTCAACTGCCAGTGTGAAGGCAGCGTCAGTGTGCGCGCTCATCATCACCTGACTCATCCGCGGGCGGCGGGAGTGTTACGGTCACGGTCAAATTAATAATAATAGCCTATAATGATAATAACACACACACAATTATGTATTACAAAAAAATATTATTTTAAATTCTAAAACAATAAGTTTGTCGTGTTTTTTTTTTTGTCGTGAAAGTCTATTGGCGCATGGAAATGTTAAGGTGACGTAAACCTGAACTTGCTCGGGTCGTTGGCTTGTCGTGGTTTACGCGCTCAAAAACCTGCTTGGAGCGCATGAGACGAGAATCACAGCTCCTCTGGGTCAAAGGGCAAAAGTCATGAGTCGAATTAACATGGAGAATCTAGGAACACTTTCTAGGAACACCTTTCCTCCTGTCGAGCAGCTCTGAGTGTGTTTGACCAGCACACAGAGAGAGAGAGAGAGAGAGAGAGAGAGAGAGAGAGAGAGAGAGAGAGAGAGAGAGAGAGAGAGAGAGAGAGAGAGAGAGAGAGAGAGAGAGAGAGAGAGAGAGAGAGAGAGAGAGAGAGAGAGAGAGAGAGAGAGAGAGAGAGAGAGAGAGAGAGAGAGAGAGAGAGAGAGAGAGAGAGAGAGATGTCCTCGTCTCTCGGAGCGGAGCCGCAGATCCATGAAGTCGGCCGCTGTTCCCAGACTCCTCTCAGTAATTAATTTGATAAATGTATTAATTATGAATGGGGTCAGCAGGCGATCAGATGGTCAGGCGTCCAGCGGCGCTCGGCTCTTATCACTCGTTTCCTAACCGAGAGTTTAAACCTTCAAAACCTGCAACACACACACACACACACACACACACACACACACATACATTGTTTCAAAGCAGATCTAGGCTACATAAAATCATGATGATAATGTTAATAATATCTTCATGTTGCGTTTACCAGTTTAGATTATAGTTACACACACACTCAAAGACAACTATTTTACCTTTCACGAGTAGCCTACAGTTGTATCATCTTGTTTTATATTGTATACTATTTTAATATATATATATATATATATATATATATATATATATATATATATATATTTCATTAATACATGATCCCACAGCTCTTTATAAAGTTGGATACCTTCTCTCCAGAGCTGTGATGATGATGATGATGTTCAGTGTGATATCCCGGTTAGCAGAACACACACTTTTGATGAAACTCGCTTCACATTCAGACAGCAGTAACAGAAGTGGCCTGAATATGTAAATGCCACTGCCCTGCTGCTTTTGTTGTGGAACGTTCAAAGAACATTGAAATAGCGAATCATAATGCTTGAAGAATGATGATGATGATGAAGGCCAGAGGAAACATTGACTGATTCCAGTTTCCGCTTAAACTGCTCAGCAGAAACTCCATCATCTCTGCACACGCCGAACGAACGCCTTCATCCTGATGATGAACTCCTGAGTCCTGAAGCACGTGATCCACACCTGTGAACAGGTGACCCGCAGCGGACCTCAGTGAAGACAGCTCGGACCCGGACTGAAGCTCGAGCGGGTCGAGCACGCGCACGGCACTCTTCGTCATCCTCATCCTCAATCCCATGGGTTAGCGTGTGTGTTTGCCGAAGCCCTGAAGGCTGGCCGAGGGCTCCCCCTGCTGGACTGATGGAGTATCGCCACACACACTTTAAACTTTACATAAAACATATTCAGTTATTAGATGATGACGTGTCCTGCAGTGTCACTGTGAAGGCAATGAGTCTGAACGGACATTACAGATTATATTATAACAAGAACAAAACTTTAAATCATTTCAGCATCAACAAGTCACAAATTGTGCAAAACAGTCACGTGTTCGTCGTCAGATCTTCATCATCATCATCTTCATCTCGATGCTCTGCGGAAGAGAAACACTGAAGTTCGTCAAGAGGAGGATGAGCAGAAGCGATCAGGTGGCGCTACAGGACCTGATGGAGACCCGCTCATTTACACACACACACTCACAGAAAACTGTTTTTGTTTTTTTCATGCCCATTTTGGGAGATTTTATCAGGTTCAGCTCACTCATGGGTGCAGATGTGTCTCCAAAATATCATTAAGTACAAACACACACACACACACACACTCACACGGAAGGTCAGATATAGTAGGTTCAGATCAGTTCTCTGAAGCTTTATTGTTGCTGTATGTATGAATATTCTCAATACAATGACGAGGACATTATGAACAAACACAGTGAGGAGGATCTGATGATGTCAGAGGTCACCGGCGAGCCGAGGCTGACCCCGTCGAGCCGGGAGCTTCACCTTATTATTCATTACGCTCTAATGACATTATACTGAATAAAACTAAAAGAGAGAAGAGCTGGAGTCACTCGATACTGAATGAAGAACAAATCTGAAATATATTAAAGCCAATAAACATCAATGAAGAGCAGATAATGCTTTATATAAAATACTCTCTTGATAAACAGCTCCTGTACACACACACACACACACACACTCACTCTCCTCTATGTGTCCAGTGGGCGGGGCTGTCTCAGTCTCCTCGTGCTGATTGGCTGCTTGTTGAACTTCTGCATGATCTCTCGGATGCGCGACAGGTTTGAGCGTACGAGTGTGAAGTCGCAGCCGCTAGCGCCGATGTCGTATCCCACCACACACACTCGGCTGCTGCCGCCGAAGCCCTCGGCACGGGCCGTCACGCGGTACTCACCCGGGTTCAGCAGACGCCAGTAATCCCCGTCAGACGCTGACACACACACACACACACACTCATCTCAGTTTAATCCAAGACGTTACAAGATCATCAGCTCATATATTCAGCCAATCAATCACATCAATATCTGCTGAGACTCGCCGCTCCTGCGCTGCTGTGGGCTGGAGTGTGTCGCGGTGTGTATCGTGTGTGTTGTGTGTGTATCGTGTGTGTCGGTGTGTGTGTGTCGCGGTGTCACCTGACCTGTGCGAATGTCGTGATTGATTCCGTCCACAGAGATGATGGCATTGGCGATTCCTCTCCCCTGAACGTCTCTGACCACACCTTTAATCCCACGATGCACCTGTACACACACACACACACACACACACACTGAGTCTCTTTGAGTCGTTATGTTGGACTGTCACTCTCGGATACGAACGGCTGAAACTGAGGATTAATTAATTATCCTGTTTAATTAAACCAGAGGATTTTTAAGTTGTATCGCTGTTTTTCAGTCCCCTGATGTAAGACCTCTTCTGATTGGCTGTGATTTGTGCTTGATTTGGTTAAAGGGTTCGTTCACCCAAAAATGAAAATTCTGTCAGTATTTACTCACCCTCATGTTGTTCCAACCCCGTAAGACCTTCGTTCATCTTCGCAACACAAATTAAGATATTTAAGATATTAAGATCGCTCCTGCATACAGTCCATAGGCTTCTTGAGGGAATGACTCTTGCTGTCCTCAAAGTCATTAAAGACATCGTTAAAATAGTCCAAGTGACTACAGGGGCTCAATCTTAACTTTATCAAACGACGACAACACTTTTGTGCGCAAAAACAACAAAAATAACGACTTTATTTCAACTATTCACTTCCTTCTCCATGAGCCTGTAGTCAGTTAGCGTAGTGTGATTGCGTAAAGCCACGTCACACGGAGGCTCACTATTGGCCGACGCTGGTCATGTGTGTGATGCGTGTGACGTACAATAACAGAAGCTTACGCTATTAAACTAGTAACCTGACTCGCGCAGAGGGAGAAATAAACCAATAGTTGAAATAAAGTCGTTATTTTTGCGCACAAAAAGTGTTCTCGTCGTTTGATAAAGTTAAGATTGAGCCCCTGTAGTCACTTGGACTATTTTAACGATGTCTTTAATGACTTTTCGAGGCCAGCAAGAGTCATTCCCTCAAGAAGCCTATGGACTAGTATACAGGAGCGATCTTAATATCTTAAATATCTTAATTTGTGTTCTGAAGATGAACGAAGGTCTTACGGGGTTGGAACAACATGAGGGAGAGTAAATACTGACAGAACTTTTTTGGGTGAACGAACCCTTTAATTCAGTCCATTTAATATATAATATAATAGACACGTTGTGGTGGTGTCTAGGCGCAGGTCCTCCACCTGATCTGGATACGGCCTGGTTCCGGCTGACCACATCATGCGCACTCGTGTGTGTGTGTGTGTGTGTGTGAGATCACCTGTTCCATGAAGACGAGCAGAGACTCGCGGTTGTTCTCCCACTCCTCGGGGAGTTCGCTCTCGTGAGGGTATTTGTCACAGCCCACGTACATGGAGAGCTCGAAGCAGTTGGTGTGCAGGTAGCTGAAGTCGTTCATACCTGTAAACCAACAACATCCGTTAACGAAACCGACGACCATCAGAGATCAGCTGTGCTGCTGATGACCTCACTTCCTGCGGCCGTGTGCCACGAGGCGCCGTTGACGGTGCCGTCCTCCTTGGCGAAGTCGTGTGTGTGGCAGACCCTGCGGCTGGCGTGGGTCATGAGCCGGTGCGTGGAGGCGTAGGAGAACGCCAGCCAGCGGAACACGTGATCGTCGGCCGTGGGCGTCGGCTGCCGGAGCGTCTCGGAGCGCGTGCGGTCGAACGGGAACGACACCACCAGCTCGCCGCCCTGCAGGTTGCCCCCCAACACGAACGGGATCTTCTCCATCCACGACACCAGAGCGCGCGTCTCCGCGGCCACCTGGGGTCAGAGGTCAGGGGTCAGAGTGAGACACGCGGCCGCAGCAGTTCAATCTTGCTGTGTAATATTATATATCTGGACAGTACTCAGTAATATTACCGAATATTATCCAGAATAAAGCTTTCGCTGAATTGAGCAACACAAATCTAGATTTCAAACCAATGACCTTTCAACTGACATATCAGACGAACGTTGATCACACACATGCGCTAACGTACGCTGGCGTTCTCGGAGCGGTACCAGTCCGGGATGGGGATGTGGTGGTTGTGGAACTTGCGCGGGACCCAGTTCCGGTTCTCCGCCTCCCACAGGACTGAGCTGAGGTCAGGGAAGTTATGATGGATGTCGAGGCCGTCGTGACTCCAGCGGCCCAGAGTCCATCCGCTGAGCTCCGAGCCCTGAACACACACACACACACACACACACACACACACACCAGCACTGATCTAAACCCAGAGATAAGATAATGTTACAAAAGATTCTATTTCAAATAAACGCTCGTCTTTTGAACTTTCTGTTCATCAAAGAATCCTATAAAATAAAACGTATCACAGTTTCCACAGTAATATGACCTGTGTTCAACACTGATAATAATCATAACTGTGTGTTGATCATCAGATCCTCATATTAGAGTGATTTCTGAAGGGTCATGTGACACTGAAGACTGGAGTATTGATGATAAACTCAGGAATAAATGACACTTTACTGTATATTCATGTAAAGAACAGATGATTTACACTGGAGGAATATTCCAATATTTCATTCACAATCACATGATCTCATGTTTCATGAATGATCGTCTCTGTAATTATTTCTGCATTTTGCGATTGTAATTGAACTAATATTCCACAATATTACAGTTTTACTGACTTCAGAAGGTGAGTGTGTATTAATATTCTGGCATGAGTCGTGTGTAGCGCAGGAGTGTGTGTGATTACCGCGGCGAAGGCCTTCTCGTAGCCGTCGGGGTTGACGGAGGGCAGCAGGTGGATGCGCGTCTCCTCCACTAGGTGGCGTACGCGAGTGTTTCCGCTCAGATACTCCTGACACATGAACTGCATGAGCAGCAGCAGCAGCTCGCGGCCCAGAACCTCGTTACCGTGGGAACCGGCCGTGTAGCGGAACTCGGGCTCGCCTGCACACACACACACACACACACTGTGATCCCTGTCACACACACACACACACCTGTGTGTCCTGCGCCTCACCCAGCTCATGCTCGCCGGGCCGATCCGAGATCTCGATGGCGTACAGCTTCTGTCCGCTGAAGCTCCGGCCGATGTTGTAGATGCGCGTGATGTTCGGACACTTCTCGTTCACCACCTTCATCAGCTAAACACACACACACACACACACACTCTTGTTTTGAGTGTTTTATCACATGACAGAAGCATGTGACCTGCTCTTCCTCACACCTGTCTCATGTCTTTATAGCTGTGGTGTCTGAAGTCCAGCTCGTCCGTCGTCGTCACTTCATTTCTTCTCCGGTAATAATTGTTTGGATCTGAAAGAAGAGTGTGTGAGTGTGTGTGTGTGTGTGTGTGTGTGTGTGTGTTTAGTTATCATTAGGCTGCATCTAGCCTCTCTCCGGTGAAGGCCTCATCGACCCAAACCCGTCTCTATACCGGCGTGACTCTGATCCTCAATAGATGAACTGGATAATCTAATCCATAACAGTGTGTGTGTGTGTGTGTGTGTGTGTGACCTGGCATCGGGCAGCCCAGGATCTCCACACGCATGCAGATGCCGCCGCCGGGGAACCAGGACCGAGGGTTGATCCGGATGTAGCGAGCGACGACAGGTTTGGGGAAGCTGTTGAGGACGGGGATCTCCTTCTCCCGATTCCCAGAGAAAATCTACTGAGGCGCAGAAACACTGGGTTACAGTTACAGCTGTGTGTGTGTGTGTGTGTGTGTGTGTGTGTGTGTGTGTGTGAAGGGTGTGTTCGGTGTCTCACCAGATCTCTGGAGCCGTTCTTCAGTGTCACCCAGCTGTGAGAGTCATTACTGAGCAGAACTTTATATGAGCTCACCCAATCACTCCTGCAACACACACACACACACACACACACACACACTGCATCACATCTGGAGAGAAGAACACGACTCATGTGCCGCTGGAAGAGTGTCAAGCCTGAAGAACAAGCAATAAATCAGCAAAACACGATAATCAGCCACTGATGAACAGATTCCACTGATGACACATGAAGCGTGGGATAAATGTGACTTATGTTTATGTCATTTCTATACAGTAAGACACATATTATATGATACAGGTGTGTGCTCTGAGACACAAACAACATCACAAAACTAGATCACTGCATTATAATCTCACATTTATGCATTAGACAGATGTGACAATCGAGGCTTTCGATCAGATCATGCAATCCTGTCGAACCCATGAGTGTTGTGTGTCCACTGGATCAGTTGTGGTGTGTGTGTGTGTGTGTGTGTACTCACGACCAGAGTGAGCTCCGCCCCTGAGTGATGACCCCGGTGAACTTCATGAGTCTGCGAGCGTCGACCTCTAACCACTGCAGCGGGTCGATCCTTCCAGCACACCAGCCTCCATCATACAGGTCATCCTCAAGCAGACCACCCTACACACACACACACACACACTATTAACTCATAAGTGAGACAGAAGCGGGCTAATATGGTCAATCTTCCTGGTTCTGGTAAGAACTGGAGCGGCTGTGTTCTGGACCAGCTGGAGTTGTTTATTAGGCGTGCAGGACAAACACCCAGTAGAGCATTACACTCATCTAGCCTTGATGACTTTAAGAGTATATGACGTCATTTAGAAATATTTTTAAGATGGAAGAATGTGGTTTTACAGATACTAGAAACGTGACTTTCAAATGAAAGACTGGTATTAAAGAGCACACACACACACACACACACACACACAGAGCAGCCATCGAGTGTCAGACAGTTTTTGGTCCAATCATCAGAAACTCTGTTTTTCAGAATTAAGTCGTAGGAAATATTAGTCATCACATCTTCATATCAGCTCAGCTCGTTCATTTGTTGAACTGTCAGGGTGTGGAGAGACAGAGCCGAGTATCATCATCAGTAACAGTGTGAATGAAGCCACTTTGTAAACTCGTTAGGGATCCTGGAGGTCGTGCGGGTCAGAATGATCCTTCATGGTGATGTTCTGGACTCGAGCGCAGCTGCGTGACGCTCCTGTGACTCACAGCCGATTTCAGCAGAAACTGGGTCAGTCTCACACGGCTGTCGCTCTGCAGTTTCCAGCGGATCATTCCTGCTTTAGTTTGTCGTTCTGTTTTCATCAAGAGCAGCGGAAAACAAAGAGCAAATTCTGTGCAAAGTGGATCCAGATGAGGCAAAGATTGTGCTGAACGGGTCTGAGATCTGAGTAACAGATGAAGAGCAGAAACACTGGCAACATTACACACACACACACACACACACACACACCTGGATGTTCAGCCGGCCCCTGTGCGGCCCCAGACCGTAGTGCCTCATGCTGGATGCGTGGAGCTGGAAGTCATCGATGTTCAGCGTCTCCAGACCCAGCGGAGGACAGTCTGGCCGAGAAGAGCAGAATCTGAGATTTACCTTCATTAAACAGGCAATCATGATTTCCACAGTTTCAAAGTTTGTGTTCTCGAGCACCAAAGTCTCTGTCTTCAGTAGAGCGGTGTCGTGTTAGCGCCCCCTAGGTTCATCACTAATGATCTTTGCCACGGGGGTAAATCAATCAAAACTAACTTTATCTGGACAATAACTTTATTCTAGATCTGCTGTAAAAACCCTTTACCTAATTAACCTTTAAAATGACGTATACATTACTTATAACCCCAAATAAAGCTGTCAGTGGGTTGGGGTCTATTATTCCTGTGGTAAACTAAAATCCCCCCAAAACCTTAATAACTGAGGATAGGATCTCTCTTTCAAAGTTAGATCTTCAATTATTGTTATAATAAAATATTGAGACTGTTATATTGTGAAGATGTGCAGCTTCATTAGAGTCTCGCACACATCATGTTCGTTTGCGGTTCAATAACGAGTGAGTCACTGAGTGAATCGACTCACCAACTCGCTCGGGAGCGAACGAACCACCACTGACGCCCTCGGATGCTTTCATCGCTTTCTTCTTCTCATTCTTTCTGTGAGCAGCTTTCCCTGTGAACGACACACAGCAGAAGAGCTGAAGAATTGAAGAACTGAAGAACTGAAGAACAGACGAACCGAAAAACTGAAGAACTGAAGAACTGAAGAACAGAAGAACCGAAAAACTGAAGAACTGAAGAACAGCTAAACGAGGAACGCTATAAACTTGTGTTGAGCAGATAAACAGCTGTGTTTCATGTGTGTGTGTGTGAGGTCGAGTCAGGATAAACACACACACACACACGGAAACACTCAGATCCTTAAAACGCTGCCAGTGTTCAGATGTGCCACAGGATAATCCAGTCTTTCCTTCTTAATAATCAACAGCGAGTCTTTCTTTCCTTCTTAATAATTGACAGCGAGTCTTTTTCCTTTATTAATAATTGACAGCGAGTCTTTCTTTCTTTCTTAATAATCGACAGCGAGTCTTTCTTTCATCCTTAATAAATCGACAAAAAATCTTTCTTTCTTTCTTAATTGACAGCAAGTCTTTTTCCTTTCTTAATAATCGACAGCGAGTCTTTTTCCTTTCTTAATAATTGACAAAGAGTCTTTCTTTCTTTCTTAATAAATCGACAGGGAGTCTTTCTTTCTTTCTTAATAATCGACAGCGAGTCTTTCTTTATTTCTTAATAATCGACAGTGAGTCTTTCTTAATAATCGACAGCAAGTCTTTCTTTATTTCTTAATAATCGACAGTGAGTCTTTCTTAATAATCGACAGCGAGTCTTTCTTTCTTTCTTTCTTAATAATTGACAGCGAGTCTTTCTTTATTTCTTAATAATCGAGAACGAGTATTTCTTTCTTTCTTAATAATCGACAGCGAGTCTTTCTTTCTTTCTTAATAATCGACAGCGAGTCTTTCTTTCTTTCTTAATAATCGACAGCGAGTCTTTCTTTCTTTCTTAATAATCGACAGCGAGTCTTTCTTTCTTTCTTAATAATCGACAGCGAGTCTTTCTTTCTTTCTTAATAATCGACAGCGAGTCTTTATTGCTTAGTAATCGACAGTGAGTATTTCTTAATAATCGACAGCAAGTCTTTCTTTCTTTCTTAATAATCGACAGCAAGTCTTTCTTTATTTCTTAATAATCGACAGTGAGTCTTTCTTAATAATCGACGGCAAGTCTTCCTTTCTTTCTTAATAATCGACAGCGAGTCTTTCTTTATTTCTTAATAATCGACAGTGAGTCTTTCTTAATAATCGACAGCAAGTCTTTCTTTATTTCTTAATAATCGACAGTGAGTCTTTCTTAATAATCGACAGCGAGTCTTTCTTTCTTTCTTTCTTAATAATCGACAGCGAGTCTTTCTTAATAATTGACAGCGAGTCTTTCTTTATTTCTTAATAATCGAGAACGAGTATTTTTTTCTTTCTTAATAATCGACAGCGAGTCTTTCTTTCTTTCTTAATAATCGACAGCGAGTCTTTCTTTCTTTCTTAATAATCGACAGCGAGTCTTTCTTTCTTTCTTAATAATCGACAGCGAGTCTTTATTGCTTAATAATCGACAGTGAGTCTTTCTTAATAATCGACAGCAAGTCTTTCTTTCTTTCTTAATAATCGACAGCGAGTCTTTCTTTATTTCTTAATAATCGACAGTGAGTCTTTCTTAATAATCGACGGCAAGTCTTTCTTTCTTTCTTAATAATTGACAGTGAGTCTTTCTTTCTTAATAATCGACAGCAAAAGTCAAACACAATCTCAGCAGATCTGAGACTCATGACTGATCCCAGATTCATCTTCATCAAACGAATCAATAAATGGATCTTTTAGATTATTTGTACTGGAAAACAAGACAAAAATACTATAATAAAATCTAGATTTGTTTGCTGTGTAGGTCAGCAGGGAGAAAATTACCTCAAATTCAAGTTATAAAGTTAAATCTAACAGTGTGTCTTTAGGAGAGCAAAATAAATAGACTAACTGAGAGTTTTAAACCAGGGAGAAACACTCCGTATCCTCTGCTGTCGATGAAGTCCGTGTTCCCGACGGAAGATCACCACTTTCCCAGTCATGAGTGTTTGACACAGTTAAAGCTGATCACTGGAGACGGCTGAATCAGTGTGTGACGGGTTTGCACATGTTCTGGCTTTACCTGGTGTGGATCTGCTCTCCTTCCCGACTCCCCGTCCGGGAGTCTCTCCGCTCTCCGGGATCCGCTTGTAATGTTCCCGACTCAGCAGCTCCTGCATGTAATAATCCTCATCATCAGAGGAATGTCCAGAACACACGTCCAGCAGGAGTCCCAGCAGCAGGAGCGTCCGAAACCACATCATCCGATCCGATCCCATCCCGGACCCATTAACTCACTCCGTCCTCGTTTCAGGGAAAACTTCTGCTGTGTGTGCGAGAGAGAGAGAGAGAGAGAGAGAGAGAGAGAGACTGTGGTGTTTTGGCTCTGGTTCCAGGTGTTTTGTTGATGTCATGTGAAAACAGGAGCATAATGCAGGAAAAGAGTCGGATCATCTGATCCAGAGCTGATTGATGTGTCACTGTGACTCCTCCCACTGGGCGGAGCTTCCCTGACCTCATTACCATCCCATAACCACACAAGAGAGAGAACTGAAATGAACTCATACTGATGGGCGCAAACGCACTCACACACACTCTCTCTGTCTCCCTCTCACTCACACACACACACAAACACACACAGCGTCAGTAATGTGTTAATCACATCCAGGTCCGGGCAGGTCTGAGTATCACAGACTGAACACATGTGTGTGAGAGAAAGTGTGTGTTTGTGTGTGTGTAACTCTAGCCCACTTTTATACTGTACAAACTGTGTATTTGTGCCCTTACACTAACCCGACCCCTAAACCCACCCATCTCACACACACACACACTCACACACACCTCTCATATCTGCTCCTCTACAGTGAATGAAGGCCAGCTATAATGAGCGTCTGCTGTGAAGCTTCGGTGACTCTGATCCGTTCAGACGTGACTCACTGATTCATGATCGTCTCATTACGAGCTTCACTTCCTCACATCTGAAACTCACAAAAACAAACCACTATAAAAAGATTGTGTAACTAACAGTTTACAGTATGATTAATCAATAATCGGTTAACATTAGGCTGATGGCGGTTTGTGGATGTGGAGAGTTCGCTGTGAGATCTCACCTCAGAGTTTGTGCAAATTAAAGTGTGTTTTCACTGGATTGATGGGATGAATCTGAGACGCTTCCTGAAACCCTCACACATTCTTCAGACCAAACCCTGATCCGCCTCGGGGAAACATCTGTCCGCGCAGAACCAGGCCAGACGACTAGAGCTTTAATCAGCCGTGTAATGCTTCATCCCCTCTGACGAGCGTCCAACACACACAGTCTTCAGTCGCATCTGACAGAGTCACGAGCCGCTCACCATCGACGGCACGGATCAGGAGACGCTTCTGTTTCCCACAATCCCCTGCAAACTCACGTTCTGCCCTACAAGAACACAACACACACACTGAAACAAAGAGAAGCGGAGTAAACGAAGCATGTCGACGCAGAACTCGTTACTGTGCTTTAACTCGTCTGAAGTTGACCTCTGACCTCTGAAGACACAACCTTTGATGGCACAGCGACATGACCTCTGGCCTCTGAAGACACAACGACACGACCTTTGATGGCACAGCGACATGACCTCTGACCTCTGAAGACACAACGACACGACCTTTGATGGCATGCAGCGACCTCTGACCTAAGAAGGCACAACGACACAACCTCTGACCTCTGAAGCACTACGATGCACCTCATCACTGCGGTCGATCATCAAGCACTGAATCATGGCCTCTGCAGGAGAGAGATGGACATGGCAAGAATGTTGTTAGATGTGAGTTATAGACTCAGAGTAACACGAAGCAGATGTTCAGAATGAGGCCGGCGAGGATCTGCGCAGACACAGAGACACACAGACGGATCTGCGCAGACACAGAGACACACAGACGGATCTGCGCAGACACAGAGACACACACAGACGGATCTGCGCAGACACAGAGACACACAGACGGATCTGCGCAGACACAGAGACACACACAGACGGATCTGCGCAGACACAGAGACACACAGACGGATCTGCGCAGACACAGAGACACACACAGACGGATCTGCGCAGACACAGAGACACACACAGACGGATCAGCGCAGACACAGAGACACACAGACGGATCTGCGCAGACACAGAGACACACACAGACGGATCTGCGCAGACACAGAGACACACACAGACGGATCTGCGCAGACACAGAGACACACAGACGGATCTGCGCAGACACAGAGACACACACAGACGGATCTGCGCAGACACAGAGACACACACAGACGGATCTGCGCAGACACAGAGACACACAGACGGATCTGCGCAGACACAGAGACACACACAGACGGATCTGCGCAGACACAGAAACACACACAGACGGATCTGCGCAGACACAGAGACACACACAGACGGATCTGCGCAGACACAGAGACACACACAGACGGATCTGCGCAGACACAGAGACAGACAGACGGATCTGCGCAGACACAGAGACACACACAGATGGATCTGCGCAGACACAGAGACACACACAGACCAGATAACATTTTACCCAGTTAACTGGAATAATTTCATAAGTTATTTTATAGTTTTTGTTAAGACTAATCATTGATCAGGTCAGTTGCATAAAAACGTCCGTTTAATATGAGAACAAAAAGGAAGGCTGATTACTCTGGTTTAACAGGATTGGTTGCGTTCCTGCAACGGGCGCCAGAGCATCTGTTTCCATGGCGACAGAACAATAAATAAACTCACGAAGCCTCGGAAACACTCACAAATATCCACTGGAAGGATGTCAATGCAGGAACCGCTTCCCAGAACAATCTGAGAATGATATTTTACGGTTGTAAAAAATCAAATCTAAAAAGGTTTTTCAGTGGTTCCCAGGATATAACACACGGGACCGAGCGCACAGTAAATCAGATCCGACACAAACACACACTCTCTGCAATAACAGACCGTCTGCGTCAGGCCAAGATCATCAAACACAGTTACCCAGAGGCCTCAGCGCTCGAGCTTCAGCTGCTACGGCCATCAAACACCACAAACCTCCAGGACATGTTTATGATTCTCCATAAAAGCCCAGGAGCGGCTCTGATGAGATCTGCGAGTCTCACACGGGAAGAGTTCATGATCTGACAGCGAATCCGGATCTTCTGTGGCAGAGAATCAAGAGATCGCAGACGGACCTGATCCAGAAATCCTCATCCTGTCAGCAGTTTCTCAGAGACACACACACACACACGCACACAAAATCAGCCAATCCTAACATCAGTTTAGTTCATATATGAAACATCTCTTTAGTTTGTATTTTTTCCATTTGTTTATTTTGTTTTTAAAATTACTATGTTGTGTTTGCCGAGCGTCTCATGATGATGATGAACTCTGGCGCCCTCTTCTGCTCACAGCACAGCAGTGTTTATGAGTTTATGACGGACATTTCACCAACAACCAGTCCAGGATAAACACCACACACACACACACGCACACACACACACACACACACACTGTTTTACAGGAAATTTGAATATTCGATGTATCAATTAATCAATAATAACTCACGTCACAATCCGAGGATTCCAGTTCCCCCGTCACTCGCGGAGGGGGAGGAGCCACATCTCACCTGTCAATCATAATAACTTCATCGAACATTACATTTACGCATCCTCACAAACAGGCGAATCCAGCACTGACAACATTAAATAATAATCACAACACTTCTCATAATCATTGTGTGTGTGTCAGTAAATGTCCATCAAATCAAACATGATATCATGAACTGCACACACACACACACACACACACACAACAGTAGCCCATATGCACAATTACTAACAAGACTAAATAGAAAATCAGTCAATGCTGCTGATTCACCAAACAAACACAGCCAGGGACTGATATAATTTACAGAAATACTCAAAAGTAGAAGATATGTGTGTTTCTCCCGACGCGTATGTCGAACAGTCTGTTTATTTAGCCTTCTATCGACACATGATTAAATCACGTAGTCTATCTTTATTTAGATAGTTTTCCCAATGCTTGATATTTCATTGATTTGTTCTGATGCAGAAGTGATTAGGACTCAGTCTGAGGTCACCCGTTTCCACGGCAACAGCATGGCCCGGCACGTCACTTCCGTTTCGGTTCAGTGTGAATGTGTGAAGTGAATCTGAAGTGATGTGAGGCACACACACACCAGCTGTCGGCCGGAGCAGAGTCTCCACACAACCGACAAATACAGTTTAAACACATTTAATACATTGGTTTCAGTTGAAAACTCGTATCACTTCCTGTTCTGAGACAAACATCCTCTAGATTTGTCCTGTATGACTGAAAACACACACAATTTAAGTACTACAACATATGATCATATCCGTGAGGATCAGACTGGTGTCGGACTCATAAATCATAATTATTGCTGCCATTCAATCCTTCATGAATAATAATCAGCTGCTAAACATATGCTCATTTAGCCCCTCCCCTCCTCTGCGTCAGCTGACCAACACAAACATCACGTGACCCTTATTGCTTGCTTATCTTTTTTTTTTCTGTTATTTATCATGTTAACTTGAAAATCCTTCTCAGATGTGTGGAGTCCGACCCCAGGAAACGATGATCAGTTGATAAGACTCACTGATGTCCGCGCTGCTGATTCGCCCTCCAAACTGATGTCACTTCCTGGAGGATGATGCCGCTGAGGAACTTAAGTTAAAGGGTTTTTACAGGTTTTCATATTGAGGACTCGGAAACTGAACAACCAATCAACAGATGTGTGTCTCTGAAACGTTTATAAAACACATCATGATGGATTAAACTCATTAAACTAGAAAGAACAAACGGACTCTCAGCTGACTGAACATTTATTTCAGAGCAGAAATGAAACAACATCTGATCTCACTTCATTTGATTAAACATTCATTAAACGTTCTACAGGAAGCAAACACACACACACACACACACACACACACACACACAGTTCTGATCGACATTAATGACTGCCGTTAAAGTGCACGATTCTCTCATCACGGGGAGAAACTCATTCCTTCAGAGTGGCCACGTCAGACTTCGAACGAGTGGATCAACAGCAGCGTCGTCGGAAGCCACACACACACACACACACACACACACAGCGTCGTCTGTTCGGGGAGACACCGTCATTGAGAATGAAAACCGTGCGGAGAGAGAGTCCAGGCTGACCTGAACGACTGTAACAGCTAAAACAAGAGCGCTAAAACCAGACGAATACAGCTCAGATGAAGAGGAGGAGGAGGAAGAGGAGGAGGGTTTAAAACGACATGACGGTCCTGCTGATGATGTCCACACACTCCCTGATCTCGTCTTCGTTTATAACGAGGGGTGGAGCCAGTCTGATGATGTCACCATGCGTGGGCTTTGCTAGCAGGCCGTTGTCACGGAGACGCAGACACACACGCCACGCATCATAGTCTGAGAGATCAAAAGATTAGAAGTAATAATAATAATAAAAGTAGATTATCACACACACACACCTTTGGTCTCGTTGATGATGATGGCGTTTAGGAGGCCTTTCCCACGAACGCCGCTCACGATCTCTCGGGGGAGTTTGTTGAGTTCGGCTCGCAGGATCTGACCCATCCGCTCAGCGTTATCAGCCAGACCCTCGTCCTCCAGAACCTGCAGAGTCCACACACAACATGAGGCGCACACACACACACACACTCTCGCGCGCCTGCGCTCACTCACTCACCTCCAGAGCAGCGATGGCGACGCGGCAGGCCAGCGGGTTTCCACCATACGTGGATCCGTGTTCTCCGGGTTTGATGGTCAACATGACCTCATCATCACACAGAACAGCAGACACCTGAAGCACACACACACACACACACAGATCAAGGAGTGCTTCCTATAAACCAACACACGAGTGTGATACGTGGTAACGTGTGTGTGTGTGAGACTCACGGGATACACTCCTCCTGACAGAGCTTTACCCAGAACCACCACATCTGGTCTCACGTCCTCATGATCCACAGCCAATCGGCGGCCGGTGCGGGCCAGACCGGTCTGAACCTCATCCGCGATGAACAGAACCTGCAACACACACTCGCCTGAGTTACAACCTTCCCGCCTCTCTCCTGAATGGACTCTGAGTGAGTTAGCCTGCAGTTCCTCCTCTGGCCACTAGAGACTCACTCCCATAGACCCGCATGTTAAAATGCCCAACTTTACAGCAGAAAAACACGTGTTTACAGTCTGGTGTTAAAAGTGGTTTTGGTCTATATCGCTAATGTTGCCCTTCATGACGGCTGAGGATGGTGAATATTTTTTATAACTCATCCGTTTAAATTATATTACGCCTTAAATTTGTACATAATTAAGGGCGTGGCACTTGAGTGACAGGTGGATTGCCGTTTGTCTGCTAGCATTCGCGTCACGTCACCTCAGCTAATCCGCCTCGCTGGACAAGTTCATTTATCCGGGAGTGACGCCATGATGGCAACGGACGGCTCCGCCCACTTTGGGCTTCAGAAACACTACAGGTGATGTCACACACACTACGCCAGTGTTTTATACAGTCTATGGTTAAGACACTTAAACACAATCAGAATGAATGTTTGATGGCACTTATCAGTGTGTGTGTGTGTGTGTGTGTGTGTGTGTGTGTGTGTGTACTTGCATTATGTTTAGTGCACAGCTCCCGGACTTTAGTGAGGTAACCAGCATCAGGAACGACGACACCCGCCTCACCCTGGATGGGCTCCACCATGAACGCAGCCACATGTGGGTCCTGCAGCGCTTTCTGTACGACACACACACACACACACACACACACACGATTATGAAGAACTGGTTGAGCTGGTTAGTCACAGGCAAGAAATAAGACTTCACACAGATGTACTGTGCTTGTTCGTATGGCTGCACAATTTGGCCAATTTGTTTTTTTATTATAATTAATTCACCTTTGGCTAAGCCACGCCCTAGAATGTAGATTGACCAATCACAGCGCAGCCCAGAACGAGCCCCCACAGAGGTCGGACAGTTTTTCACAGCGCTCCATCGACTTCAACACAGGCGTCTCTTTGGTCTCGGCAGGCTATTGCCGTCGTAGTTTTATCCGAAATATGGTTAAACGTTGTGCCTCGGGCGTTTATAACAGATCCGCGTTTCCCAGAGAGGCTGGAGGGGGTGTCCGCTTTTCCCTTCCCTAAACTGGTTTAATCTTTGGAAACTGTGTGGACGTCCTCCGTCAGCTAAACCCCGCAAACATCAACACGCACATCTTCTTGAGTGTGAAGTAATACTAGTTAGACCGTTTTATAATGTTTTAGGTGATGATTTCGGTTCTCACACCGGTTGTTGATACGCTAGCACACGCTGCTAATAAACACAACGTTATACTGGTGTAGTTTGTTTGCTTGTAATAACGATTATAGAAGTGAATAGAGACCTAACGTTGCTCCTGATATTGTCCCAGCCTCCGTCTCCATTAGTAGGAAATGCGGTGGTTCATGTTTTGACTGTGAGCGCTAACGTTAACGTTATGCTTTTGCCTCTATTTTGGATGCCGTGTTGTTTCTTGCGTTTCACCTGTATGTCTTGAATATAGCCTTCGGACGCATATTGCAGCCCCTTTTGTCTACGGAACTAACAATAAGCATGTGTGTGTGTGTGTGTGTGTGTGTACCTCCAGTGCAGTGATGTCATTATACGGCACCAGCTGGAACCCGGGCATGAACGGGCCGAAGCCCTCGGAGCTGCTGGGGTCGGTGGAGCTGGAGATCGCGGCCAGCGTACGGCCCCAGAAGTTCCCCACTATTCATTCACACACCAGATAACATTTTTGATTAGTTTACTAGTGTGTGCAGGACACTATAGATCATTCTGTAAATGGGCAGCCTGAATTAAAGGGTTCGTTCACCCAAAAATGAAAGTTCTGTCAGTATTTACTCGCCCTCATGTTGTTCAACCCCGTAAGACCTTCGTTCATCTTCGCAACACAAATTAAGATATTTAAGATATTAAGATCGCTCCTGCATACTAGTCCATAGGCTTCTTGAGGGACTAGCTCTTGCTGTCCCCGAAAAGTCATTAAAGACATCGTTAAAATAGTCCAAGTGACTACAGGGGCTCAATCTTAACTTTATCAAACGACGAGAACACTTTTGTGCGCAAAAACAACAACAAAAATAACGACTTTATTTCAACTATTCACTTCCTTCTCCATGAGCCTGTAGTCAGTTAGCGTAGTGTGATTGCGTAGAGCCACGTCACACGAAGGCTCACTATTGTCCGACGCTGGTCATGTGTGTGATGCGTGTGACGTACAATAACAGAAGCTTACGCTATTAAACTAGTAACCTGACTCGCGCAGAGGGAGAAATAAACCAATAGTTGAAATAAAGTCCTTATTTTTGTTGTTTGTTTTTGCGCACAAAAGTGTTCTCGTCGTTTGATAAAGTTAAGATTGAGCCGCTGTAGTCACTCGGACTATTTTAACGATGTCTTTAATGACTTTTCGAGGCCAGCAAGAGTCATTCCCTCAAGAAGCCTATGGACTAGTATGCAGGAGCGATCTTAATATCTTAAATATCTTAATTTGTGTTGCGAAGATGAACGAAGGTCTTACGGGGTTGAACAACATGAGGGCGAGTAAATACTGACAGAACTTTCATTTTTGGGTGAACTAACCCTTTAATTCAGGTTTGACTATGTAACAACTGTTTTTCGATTCGAGACACTCCTCATTCCTCGTCTCAATCAGTTTTACACCGAGAGAGAGCGCCTCCAAACACTCATCTGTGCTGGTAAATGAAGGAGACTCGACTCACTGGCGAAAATGATCTTGGCCTCATTCTTCGGGACGCCCTTGACGGAGTACGCCCACTTACGGGCGAGTTTACAGGCCGTCTCTCCGCCCTCCACACCTGCAACACACACACACACACACACAGAGAGTGTCACACACTGTGGTCACGGGTCAGCACAGCTGGTGTGTGTGCGGGCGCAGCGCACCTGTGTTCATGGGCAGCACCTTGTCGTACCCGAACAGGCCGGTGATGTACTGCTCGTAGGCGCCCAGCTGGTCGTTGTAAAAGGCTCTGGACGTGAGCGTGAGTCTGGAGGCCTGCGCCGTCAGCGCCGAGATGATCTTCGGGTGACAGTGACCCTGGTTTACAGCGCTGTACGCGCTCAGGAAGTCGAAGTACCGGCGGCCCTCCACGTCCCACAGGTGAACCCCTGCAAACACACGTCAGGTCAGGGCTACACTTCCGTCACTGTGTGTAGGACCCTTACTACAACTGTACAAGCCATCGAAACTCATAAACCCGTATGAAACGAGTGAGGCGTGTTCGCCGTGTGGTCGGTTACCCTCTCCGCGCTCCAGGGCCACGGGCAGCGGGTGGTAGTTGTGAGCACCGTAACGATCCTCGCGAGCGAACAGCTCCTCTGGCGTCAGCTTTCGCTCCTTGTGTTTCATGCGTGTCCCAGAATGCACTGTGCGGGTCAGAGCGGGCGTCACTCTGCCCACGCCTCTCATCAGACTCTGCATGCGGTTCATGGCGGGTTGTTCTGAGACAAACAGAGAAATAACATAGAGGCCTTATTACAGTTTACTTCAAATTAACATCGAGATGCCTTGCGTTATCACGGAAAACACACACACTGCCCATGATCTGTGTGAACACGGAGACTGCAGCGCACTGAAAATGAACGTCTGATAAATAAATAAATGTAACTTCAGGGTTTCATAAATGAAATAAAATCCACTGTCTCGATTCATGTTCCTGATGTTAATGTGAATGATTGAACAGAGATGTTGTTCTGTTATACATTATTATATTATCCACTTTTCACCATCAGATCATCCTCAGGTAATCTATCGCTTCATGATGCATATGAGAGTCACACCGCTGACATTATCATTATCAGAACAGGACGGTCTGCGTCAGTCGCCAAACATCAGAGAAAAATCAAATCATCATTTTTAATATACATGCACATGACGAATATCTGATTGAAACGCTTCTGGAAAAAGAACATGATTGTGTCTGTGAGGAGTTGCTTTGCTATTGGCTGATCTCCTGTGAGTGACAGGTTAAAGCCCCGCCCACATCATCAGACAAGAGAAGCTGCAAGAGGAACTGATTCTGATTCAAGATTATTAACACAATAATGATGATTTCACCTATAAATCATTGACAATAAACACAGACAAGAGTTCCAGATGTTGAATGATTTCATGGGGACTTTAACTCTCGCTGCAGAACTGGACGTTTTTAGGGTCTGTTTATCGTAATGTTTATCCATCGACACTAATGGATGAAAACACCTTCATCCCTGTTTTTGACAGCAGTGTGGAGTGGATAAAGTCACATGACTGTCAGGAGAGGAGCATGTGTCCTCCGGAGCGACAGTGTGTGAAAGAAACTGATGAACAGACAGAATCCAACAATCAGGCTCTCATCAGGTCTAGTGTTTCAGCGGCTCTGACGTTACTGTTCAAGTATTTCACTTCTCAATCACATGATCATGTCTAGAGATCAATGTTCTGATAGATAATAGAAAGAACCAGAAAGAAGCAAACATCAGACCTACACACACCCCATCACACCTACACAGTACACACACACACCATCACACCCCATCACACGTACACAGTACACACACACACCCCATCACACCTACACAGTACACACACACTCACACACACACACACCCCATCACACCCCATCACACCTACACACATGTACATAATGTTCCATTTCTAAGTTCAGTTGTTACATGATTTCTGTTTTATTTATTATTATCTATTTATTTATTTAATATCTTTTTATTTATTTATTATTTTGCTATCGAACTATGAATATTTATAATATTGTCCTTTTTATTTAGTTGTTTTATTTCCTGAACCGGCTTTATTAAATGTTCTCAATCATTCAATGTTGTTTTAATGCTTTGGCTATACAAAATTTGAATTTATTTTTTGTTGTGCCAATAAATCTTTCTGAATTGAATTAAAAGAGTGATCTCAAATGAGCAAATATCACCAGTCTCCTGCTCAGAGACTCGTCAATTATTAAACAGATTCACAGAAAACTTTCCAACAAGTGTCAGTATTAGTGCAGGCGTATGATCACGTGATCTCTCGCACGTCAATTGATTGGCTGAACACTCACTGCCCCCAAAACACCCACCACGAGCCCAGCCAGGGTTAAATAAAGACTCGCGCGCACACACAGATAATAAATATATAATAATAGCTAATATAGTTACACAGCAGTCCAAAGAAGTTCAATAAAGTAAATACATAAAATAAAATGCATATCACTGAATAAACTCGCAGTGAATCCTACATTAATCTGTGTGTGTACACACACACACACACCGAGAGGGAAAGCACCTTCCTCACCCTCACGTTCATCACTGAAGCTGAACTCATAACATCCTTCGCTAAGTTACATCAGCAGCCCTCACGTCTCGCGCTCTAATCTGATTTAACGTTAACACCCGTATGGTGTTTCTCTCGTCACGTAACGCGCTCTAGCGTGTTTATGTGTTTGTGTGTTTGTGTGTTTGTGTGTGTGTGTGTGTGTTACCTGCTGCGGGTCCGTGCGGGTTGAGTCTGCTCTACTGCGTGTCTCGCGCTGCCACTACTCGCATTATTCAAATGAACGCACACTCGTCACTCTCTGCGTCATGACGCAACTCGCTTTAGCGCTGCTCAACTTTGAACGGTTTTCTGTGTGAAATGTGAAACATTTCTTTTAAAATACATTTAATTACACACTTTAATTGTTTTATTGCGCCAGTACGTGATGGAGTTCGAGTGACCGAGCGCGCGATGTCTCGATGACGAGGCTCAGGACAGACATAGAGTGTGACGCAACACTGACGCAAGGTTGCCTCGAGATGTCTAAATCTGTACCATGGTAATATATATTAGTAATTTATTTCACCTGCTATAGTTTACAATCAAAATACATAAATATTGTTAAAAATATTTAGTTTGGGCAAAATTAAATAATTAAATCAATAAACATATTATTGTTTTTATACAAAACAAACGAAACAAGCCTTCATACAAAGAATAGATTTAATTAACAACAGTTAACAATTAACAGTTATTTTTCTTGGCATTCATTCTCTGGTTAGCAGCATCGTGAACATAGACTGGCTCGTTTCCACTGAGGGCGGGGTACGGACAGTACAGTACGGGTCGGGACGGGTCGGGTACACCATGATCAGGCTTGCGTTTCCATCGCCAACAGTACCCTTATTACTTGATAGGCGTACAAGCGATCGAGCAACATTACAGATGATCTTGTAATAAAATTAAAAAATGACAAAACTATCTCTTTTTGTTGAATTTCAGTTTTATCAATAATAGCCATTATAAAAGTATAAGTAAGATCGTGACGTGCGACAGAGGAACTTCACTTCCCAGAAGACCGTGCGCCGCCCATGCGCAGGAGCGTCAGCAGCATGGCAGCCGCTAGCGGAATGGAGTGGTTGAAGAGTTTGAAAGGAGTGATATTAGACATGTGTGGAGTTCTGTATGATAGTGGAGAAGGAGGAGGACAAGCAATACCCGGATCTATAGAAGCAGTGAAGCGGTATATCTATCTATCTATCTATCTATCTATCTATCTATCTATCTATCTATCTATCTATCTATCTATCTATCTATCTATCTATCTATCTATCTATCTTTGTCTGTCTGTCTGTCTGTCTGTCTGTCAATCCTGTGCACACCGTAATATGCAAACTTTCTCAATGCATACTACATATACAGCATACTATCATACTATTCTTATTATATCTGCCATATCTTTATGAAAAATGTAATATGGTTGATTTATGGTATATAGTGGTGGAACGATCACAAAATTGTAACTTTGATTTTCATTTATTACTTAAAGCTCACTTGAAGTTCTTTGACACCACAGCGAATAAAGTTCATGATAAAGTTCAAACTATCAAAGTTCAAAAAAAGTTCAAATTATTTAAAACAAGTGAACAGTTGTAGTTTTATGAACATTAACGACACAGACAGCAGAATATTAGGCTACTGTCACTTTAAGACCCAATAAATTTAGCGTTAATCAATCCGTGAATCGCATGCATGCCGAACCGCGAGGGCGAGGTCACGAGGTCACCATCACCTGCGATCCTTGCACCGCTAATGGTTCGTATGCTATGCTAGTCTGTACTAAGTGTCCCACAATGCAATTTTCAGTGTTGAACTAAAGTAATGCCAGATGTGATCATTCTTTACTCACTATTTGATCAGATAAAAACTAAACAATATACAAAAATGTAAAACAAAAGTGTGTGTGTGTGTGTGTGTGTGTCAGACTGATGGACTCGGGTCTGACCGTGCGCTTCTGCACTAACGAGACTCAGAACACGCGTGAGCACTTCGTGCAGAAGTTGCGTGTGATGGGCTTCGACATCAGCGTCAGTCACGTGTTCTCGCCCGCGCCGGCGCTCGTGCGCATCATCAGAGAGAGACGCCTGAGGCCACACCTGCTGGTGCACGACGGTACTGCACACACACCGTCAGCATCATCATCAACACCATCATCATCTTCCTCACCACCGTCATCATCATAAACATCTTCATCATCACCGTCATCATCATAAACATCACTGCAACACAAAGTCCCACAGAGGAAAGATGTGTGTTTGGAGTGACGCGTGTGTGTGTGTGTGTGATCTCTCAGGTCTGATGGCAGAGTTCGAGGGCGTGGACACGAGTTCTCCTAACTGTGTTGTGATTGGAGACGCTGCGGATAAATTCTCCTACCAGAACCTGAACGAGGCCTTCCGTGTTCTGATTGGCCAGGAGAAACCCCTGCTGTTCTCATTGGGCCAAGGGTGAGGCTGCTCTCAGTCAGGTCCTGTGGGGCGCTGGAGAAATGTGTTTGAGCCCGGGTTATTATCCTTCTAAACCCATTGACATCACTTCATATAAAACACACAGCACATGAACAAACATATGAAAGCGAGCAGTGTCTCCAGACTGACAGATTCAGTGTGTGTGTAATGAGTGTGTGTGTGTGTGTGTCGCTGCAGACGCTACTATAAGGAGACGGACGGGCTGAAGCTGGACGTGGGGGTTTACATGAAGGCACTGGAGGTGAATACAGGAGGTCAAAGGTCATGTGTGGCTTTGCTCTGATGGTTTCTTGTTTAAAGGGGTGTTTCATGACATGTTCCTTGATGTTCACTTATAGTGATTATGGGCCCTTCTCATTTCTTATTTGTGCATCCTCGTTTCCTTTCCTTGCGTCTCTGCTCCACCCCCTGTAGGACGCGAGGGAAGGAAAGGAGGACAGAGGAATCAAATAAAAGCTTTTTTATATACGTTGGAATACTTGATGACTCGAGCTTCACTCCACAGTGTCATCAGCAGCTCTAAAAGGATCTGCCCTTATGATGTTGAAGTTTGGTTATTTAATAAATTCATAATAAATAATAATAAAGATAGGCTATACTGTTGAAATATCTGAGATGTGTGGTTTATATAAACTGCAAAGGTAAAGTATAAATTAAAATGATTGTGACCGATGTGAAGGGGGAGGAGAATTGACACGTGCGTCACGTTTAGTCAATATAACAGTTCCGCGTAGGATGCACCTGTGTATCCTCGCTCATGACTCCTCAGGAAGCCTCCTATCTCCTCGATCCTCGACTCCTCACGGTGCAATTAGAGAATTGAGATGTCCTTCAAGATGGCTGAGCTCGATCGGTTTCCGGGTCATAGGAGGGAGGACGGAGGAGCGAGGAGACGAGGAGGGATATTGAGAAGCACCCAATGTTTTTGCACAACACCCCCCCCCCCACACACACACACACACACATACACACACACACACACACACACATATAAATGTGCAAAAATGATTATTTCAAATCCTCAGTCTGACAGAAACAGTTTTAATTTGCTGCTCCTTTAAGCCTCATCAGTAAACGCCCACTGTTGTGATTGGCTAATGTCACCGGGCGTGGCCTATGGTATCAGTGGGCGTGGCCTATGGTGCCTACAGTGCGATGTTGTACAACTACTGGTAGATGTCTTGCTCTGGAGGCCGGCATATGCAAATGCTCATGTGACATCACAGATCCTAGTTTTGGAGCTTGATTAATTTCATTTAATTAATGTGTGTGTGTGTGTTCAGTACGCCGGGGACGTCCAGGCCGAGGTGGTGGGCAAGCCGTCGGCTGATTTCTTCGGGACGGTCCTGAAGGACATGAGTCTGCAGCCGCACGAGGTGTGTAGAGGCGACTGCTGTGTTCTGTGTCTGTTCACCCTGTTTCACCCTGTGTGTGTGTGTGTGTGTGTGTGTGTGTGTGTGTGTGTGTGTGTCAGGTGGTGATGATCGGTGATGATCTGGTCAATGATGTTGGAGGAGCTCAGAGCTGCGGGATGAAGGGCATTCAAGTCAGAACCGGCAAATACAGGTGTGTGTGTGTGTGTGTTTATAATATTTATTTATTTTTATTAATCTTGTGTTTATAAACTGAATCAATATAAGAAGCTTCTGTAGAATCACTCATGATCCTGCAGCACCCCCTGCTGCTCACACACACACACACACACACACACACACACACACATGCAACTGAAACGCTGTGTCTGAGAGCAGTCCTCATTCCCAGCATGCAGTGCAGGAAGCGTTCCGCATCATTAGCCGCTCCGTCTGGAGGAAACACACTCCCATGAGCTCAGTGTGTAAACATCGAACCCGGTGTCGGTTCTCAGACAGGGACCTGATGGAAAGCAGGGCAGTTGACTGACTCTTCAGCCGTTTCTCAGAAACTACAGCTCTGATCTCGTCGCTCCACTCCTCCAGTGAACGTGCTGTGCAGTTCTGTAGATCACATGATTGGTTAAGTGCTTGACCTTTGACCTGTTCCTGCAGGCCGAGTGATGAGCAGCACGCGAGTGTGAGAGCCGACGCATACATGGATGACCTCGCCGCCGCCACGCACGCCATCCTGACATCATCCCTGACCGACCGCTGACATCATCACTGCCTGCCCGTGTGCTGACGGGACTCCAGGGATCGCTGTGTAGACTCACACTGAGCGTCCACTCACGGCTCTTAAACTTCATTATCATATAAATTATAAAAAATTAAATGAATAAGACAGTTATGTGTTTTCTTTTCTCATTTTTTAATGGCTCACGTGTGTGTGCCGTCACTGCTGAAGTGTGTGTGTGTGTGTGTTTGTTCTCCACTCAGGACAATAACTGGAAATCTGTGCCGAGAGAAACTGGAGATCTGTGTCAAACTGGGTCAGAGGTCACACACACAATAATGCATTTACACACTCTCTCACACACTCGCTCTCTCTGTCTCATACACTCACAAACACACTCTCTGTCTCTCTCTCACACACACACACACACACACACACACACTCAGAGACATACTCTCTCTCTCAAACACACACACACACACGCGCACTATACCTCACAACACGTACACACACACACACACACAACAACAGAGATGAAGCCCTGGAATGAGGTCTGGGAATAATGAAAACATGATGACATACTTCCTGCTGGACAGGAAGTGAGGAATAATCAGACGGGCGTTCACACACACACCTGTGTTGCAGACACACAGACAGGTCTCCATGGCAACAGCGCTTGGTCTCATGAAACCAACATCAACAAAAGCCTGAGACCTCGAGTGAAGCAACACAGCGATGAATGAGCTTCCTGTGTGTTTGATCAGTTTCCTGTCGAGATCAGAGCTTACTGTGGAAATGGTCTCGTCTACAGGACCTCAGGGAGACACACGAGCCCCTCACAGGAAGTGCTCTCAGCTGAACAGGAAATTGCTGCATTTGTGCAGAAGTGAGTAATGTGAGGGGATTAGACTTTCTATTCTGGTACATCTTCCGAAAATACAGTGTGTGTGTGTCACTATATTTGAGCACATTAAATGGTGTGTGTGTGTGTGTGTGTAGAGAACCAGCATGAATAAAATGCTGAAAGCAGATTAGCATTACAGATATGTGATTTATTCATATTATGGTATTTGCATAAATATCAGGAAAATATTGCCACACACACACACACACACACACTTGTATATGTGCGGGAGAATCAGCCACACGGAGGCGCTCTTACAAACCCATCCAGCCGTTTATTAGAGACTCGATCTGCAGCTCAACGTACAAACACAGATCTATAGCTTTATTCACCAGTGAGGAACACATTACCTGATATTACTACTGTTACACATCTGAAGCCCTTTCACGCGTGTGTGTGTGTGTGTGTTCTAATGTTGTCGGAATCCGTCGTGACGTCCTCCACCCTGAGTCGATAACATGTGCTCCTGCACTTACTGAAGGCCCATCCCATAATAATCCCCCAGAATCCTCAGTTCCTCTCGATCTGCTCAATGTCCAGTTCTCCGCCCAGCGGGAATAAGTCCCGCCCCTTCCGGCTGCACAGCCCCGCCCACAGCTCCTTCGACCCTGCCCAGCTGGCCTCTGATTGGCTGATGAGGGAGTCCTCTGTGCTGATTGGCCGATCAGGCCTGACATCACCGTGGAGCGTTTGGTCGTCGGCGGATAATCCTGGACAGCGGAGACTGTGGAAGTCCGGCAGCTTCTGTAACACACACACACACACACACACTTGAAATGAGCTCAATTAGTGGATATAAAGTGTAATATTTCCTATTCTATTGTGAATAAAATATTGGCTCATGTGATTTGAAATTCTTAGTTAGTTCTGTTAACTGGCCAATCAGACGCAGTGGTGATATGATGGCAGAAATCAATTCATTCGGGTCACATGACGTCACTATAGCTTTGCGCCGCCATCTTTACTCCTGACGGTCTCAGTGTAAACACACCTGAGCCGTCGCGAGAGACGAGCACGCAAATGGAAATGATGACGGCCGTAAAAATGATCAAGCTCATTTTTTTATTGTGAGATTACCTGATTTATTGACTATCGTGAGCGGCCTTATCCAGATTAACGACAGCTAGCCGTGAGCCGACTTAGCTAGCTAACAACTCGCTACCTAGTCAGAGCAAACTACCACCAAAGTCATACGTTAGAATTTTTATTTATAATTCCTACATTCCCATGATTAACCATGAACCCTCAGGGGCCGGTGCCGCACTTGTTCGTCCTTTACCCATCCTGCACAGCGTGTCGATATGCATCGGTCCTCGAGCGCCTTTGAGCGATCCCCACTGTATAGACATATATCCCAGAAGGCAAACTGGGCCATCGGATCGGAGCCAGGTCTCTCTGTCTCAGGACGGCAGTTTGGGCGGGCGAGATGGGGCGTAAACATGGCGGCGCTCTGTCTGGAGTGGCGTAGGTGGCATATATGATACTCTGATATTCCAGCTCTCATGCGTAACACCAGCGGTCAGGCCTCGTTACCACGGCAACTGAGTGTTTGGTTTGTAAACAGAGCCGTTTTTCCACTGACACAATGATCAACATAGCAAACAATACACCCACACACACACACACACACACACACACACACCTGGGTCATACTGAGCAGGTCGAGTGAAGGCCTGTGTGTGTGTGAGTCTGCGGGTCTCCTGCACTTAACTCTCACACACACTCTCTCACGCACGCACACACACACACACTCTCACACACACCTGGGTCATCTTGAGCAGGTCGAGTGAAGGCCTGTGTGTGTGTGAGTCCGCGGGTCTCCTGCGCTTGACTCCGCTCTTCTTCTCGTTGTGAACGCAGGGCTGCGATCGGGAGCGGCTCAACCCCTGCCTGCGGCGCGGCTCCGGCGTGGACCCGGGAGATCCGGGAGAGCAGATCTGGGAAGGGAAGCCCAAGGGTTCGGAGAGACTGAAGCTGGAGCTGCGGTGCATGCTGGGAAACCCTGGCGGAGCGAAGGCCGGGCGCTGAACGCTTCCTCCGCTGTAGCATCTGCGCTTCTCCACCGCCGTCCACACCCGCGACCCCTGCGGTTGCCACGGCGACCGGCCGCCCAGGTCCTCGGAGCAGGACAGCGAGCGGCACTGGCGTTTGCTCGGCGGCGCGGCGCTGCTAGCAGAAGAGGCTTCGCTCAGACTCAGATCGCGCAGCAAACCGCTCGTCTCACACACACCGTCCCACAGGCTCTCCAGGCTGGAGCCACACACACCGCCCTGCGGCCACCGGCCCGACTCTGCAACACACACACACACACACACGGGTGAGAAGCAAGACAGATGCTTGGTGAGGAAAACATGAAGGAAGCGAGTTTTTGCACTTACCCATGATTCCACAGGAGAGGAGGGCCCGGCTCATGGCTGAAGGCTCATGCTGTGGAAACACACGGACAGATCAGAGGAGAGCCGCTGCAACGCGAGCAATCATGTCCAGCCCTGGCTAATCGATCCTCAGATCACACTCGCCAGTGTGTGCTAGAGGCGAAGCACAAGTTTAGCATAGATGTATTTTGAGAGTTTCGCTCTCCGTCAAGCGATCGTAAACTTTCACTGTTTCTCACACACACGCAGAGAGAGAGAAAGAGAGAGCGACCACGCTACAGACCACGCAGAATCGACTCGCTACATGCAAACGATATTCTACGATATGTTCCCTTTGGAATGATTCAGCTTTTATAACTAGCAGAAAACACAGCTGAGGGACGAATGCCCTCTCCGGGAGTGGGCGGAGCTAATGCGCACACGGCTAAACCTCATTGGCTGGCGCTCGTCTATCACCGTCACCGGCCCTCAGTTCGAGCGACGCTGACAGCGTGATCAATAGTCATGAACCCGGCAGCTCATCCATCCTTAGTGCTGTATATTGTTATCTTTTAATAATAATTACTATTATCTTTAATTTTACAGAAACACTGAATGACCAACGATATCTTGATTTCTGTGTTTCTTACTGTGACCCCTGTGACCCCAGTGTGTTTCTTACCGGCGGCAGAGACGCTCTGATGCTTACATCATCGACGGCCTTCTTCTCCAGTGTTTTAGTGTGAATAATTACCATGGCAACACACATCTTTGCCACAGTCCATTCCAGTGCAGACGAGTTCTAGTGAGGCTCATTCTTCAAGTGCAGCGCTGACCCCGACGACCTTCAGACGACCTCTTGACCCCTGCAGAGAGAACGAGAGAGAGAGACGTGTTTGAGTTCACATCAGTGACATCATCTCCAGGAGACGGTTACACCGTTGATGGATTCCAGCGCTTTGGTTTAGCTTTGAGTCCGAGTCGCAGTCATGGAAACGCTCGCCCACGATAGAGAGTTCCTGCTAATAAAGCGGGTCAGGTGAAGCCGTGGGCGAAGCACCCCGAACCCGGCGATGCTGAGGACAAGCTGTGTGTTGGCTCGAAGTCATGTGATCAAGCCGGAGTACGTGTGTCCTCACGGTTCCTGGAGCGAGCAATCCAGTCTATGGGTTAGGGTTACTCTCAGCATTTGTTTTATTTGTTGTTGCGCATGTTATCTTCTTTTGATCTTGCTGTTCTGTAAAGTCTGGAAGCTTGTTTCCGCCACAGAATGAAAAAAGTTAATTGCGACTTTTTATCTCGCAATTCTGACTTTATTTTTCTGAATTGCGAGAAATATACTTCTCGCAACCGCAGATCTGGCAATTATGACTTAATAATACGCAAATGGGAGTTATAAAGTCGGTCTTTTTCCTTAGAATTGGATTTTATAGTTTATATCTCAAAATTCGGAGATAAAGTTACAATTATCTTGTTATATATTGTTATTTTTTCCTCACTCAATTCTGTCTTTATATCTCGCAATAGTGAGATAAAGTTACAATTATCTTTTAAAATGTTTTATTCTGTGGCTGATCAAGCTATAGTAAAGCCCGTTGGTCAGCCCAGTGGCTGCTGTAAATAAAATGTAACTTGAACTTGATATGCGTTCAGTTCTACAGTCGATCTGGTGTATTTAAGTGGAATTCTTCTATGCATTTCAACAGAAACAGCATCTCGTGTGCTTGAAATCTGATGCGAGATGAATGAGCAGAGCTCGCACTGCTGGGAGTGAGCCGAGGGACACAGCGGGTCACTACAGAACCGGGTCAGGGGTTTCTATTCTATTGTCTATGATAATAACAATGTGATGAAATAGTGAGAGACAGGTTAAACAATGGAATTTAGGGACAAATAAAACTGATTTTACAGGGACGTATTTATTGTAAACTCGTTAATGCTTTCTATATTCTTTTGACTAGACATGCTTTTTGATGACTAAAACCATTGAAATGGAATCCAGGAAAATAGACAACACAGAATTTAGGAAATATGTAGGAACATGATATAGACTGCAGATCAAATCCTCCTTTATAGTGACATGTTTAAAGTTAACACACACACACAGTGCGTGTTTGAGTGTGTTTGACATCTCCCGGGACTTGATAAGCCTCTATCTGAAGGGCGAGACTGGCCTCAGCGTCTCGGATGCGTGACTCGACATTAAGAGCCGTTTCAGGCCAATCAGGGAGCGGCACATTTCCTCCAAACAACAGATTACAGATTACTCCCGCCATCATTCACTCACGTCAGACACAGAGACTCGATCACATGACCAACAGATTACTCCCGCCATCGTTCACTCACGTCAGACCCAGAGACTCGATCACATGACCAACAGATTACTCCCGCCATCGTTCACTCACGTCAGACCCAGAGACTCGATCACATGACCAACAGATTACTCCCGCCATCGTACACTCACGCTCACGTGAGTTGCGTCCGTTGCTGGAGCGGCTGAGAAGAGTGCGCTGGCGTTACACAGAGCGAGAGCGCCCTCTAGAGGACAACAACACACTATCACTGGCCGTGTTGTTTACGTTAAAGGGATCGTCGGATGCAAAATTCACTTTTAAATGTGTGTTAGCACTAGCAGTGTGTGGACGCGACCATACAATGAAGAAAATCCATTCACTTCATTTTAATCCTCAAAAAGTCTAAACACTCTGAACCGTTTGGATTTTCTAAGCACTATGATGTCATAATGCTCATGCTCTGCCCGCCGCCGCTGACAGAGGAAAGTATTAGCATATTTCTGCCCTCGGCCATTCGACACGCCTCATGGAAGAGAGGTCAATCAAAAATCAAAAATCAAATCAACGGTGTGGGTGGTTGCTTCTGAACACCGGTAACACCATCAACACAGAGTATCGTAGCTAGCCTAGCGGACGCCAGCTCATTCTGAAGATAAATCTTCTCAAAACCAAAAGCGTGAATAGAAAACCCCTCCAGAGAAGGGTAAACCCGCAGCGACTCCACCAAGGGTTTCACAGCTTTGGGAAGTTTCAGCGAATCAATTAGTCACATGAGCTTTGCTAGCCGACGCCACCTCGCGCTCGGGCCAAACCAAACTCAACTAGGCGCGTCCACAAGGCCAGCCAACTCTGTGGCAACAGAAACAGCACAGATCCAGTTGTGAAACACATGTAGAAATGAAGCCAAACCGAGCGAGCCAAGAGTTTAAAGTCCGTCGAGCACCACAGCTCCTCTGCCAGAGAATCGCACACGCTAACACTGCCAAACCGAGCCGTTAGCTCACACAATAGCGGCGCAAAGGAGCGAACGCCTTCACGAGAAGCAGCTGCCCGACCGCTTAACATAAACACAAAAGACAGACAGGTTTCTTTTCATTGGAGAAACCTCAGTTTATACCCAGTCCTGCTCGCAAACGTGAAGCTTGAACACACAGGCCTGTCACTGCAGCGCTGGTTAAAGTGTTACCAGGCAATAACTAGCGGAGAGAGACGCTGAAACACAAAGAAGCATTCATGTGCTCTGCTCTCCACACACACACACACACGCGCTGATCACAAACACACGCTTTCAGGAACACTGGCGCTTAGAAACATGAGCTAACGACACACACAACGTTATCAAATCATCCGTACACTGCTCTACATGATTGGGTGACTGTCCCATTATTTAGGCTACTCACATCATGTGGTTTCAAACACAAAAAGGGACGTTTAGAAGAATGTTCACAATGCTCTTTTTTCAATTTTAAAGGATTTTTTTATTTATTAATGATGACTTGTGATGAAGTACAAACTATGGAAACTTGTTTCCCCGACACAAAATAAACAATAAAAAAGCTAATTGTGACTTTTTATCTCAGAATTGCGTGATAAAGCAGCAATTGTGAGTCATGAAAGTATGAAAACAACAGTCCATTTCATGCTTTTTCTGAATCGCAATTTTAGGTTGTTTTTCACTCTGATCTCAAACACTTGGCTTATATTCAGATGTCCCACAATGCATTGTGAATATTTGAGTGCTGCAATGAAGGGGATGATTTAAGTTAAGTTTCACACAGAAAGCATCATGTTTTTAAGGCTTTCTGCAGCTCGACACACCATCATGTTCACTGCATGGAAAAGGAGTAATGAACATTTAACATTGAACCGGTTTACTAGGATACAGCTCAACCAGAGCCGTTGACTGTTCACAGATCAGCCGGTCCGCCCCGGTGATTCATGATCTCATGAAGCGCTTCCTCTGAGTCTGATGTCAGCATGCAGAGAAAATATGGAACTGGCGATAACTGAAAACCAGTGGACTCATAAAGAGCGTCTTGTGATTCACTATGGGAACTTCCACTGCGGTGCGTTCGCGGCCACATGCATTACGTGCCCTAGTTATCACAACACACACGCAGTGCAAGAAAAGTGCAATCGCACAAGTCCAAAGGCCTCTCAGCTGATCAAACTCAAGACAACCACCAACATCTTTCTGAAGCAGATAAAACACACAAGCGTCAGGGGATTTAAACACTGAATCTGCAAAACAAACAATTATGTAAAGGTCAAAATCAGCCTCTTTTATGTCACAGGAACAGTCAAACCTGTTCTTTCTGATGATGTCGAACAATGGCGTCTATCAAGCAGATCCACCCAACTCTTCACCTAAACACACTGGGACTCTGTAAACACAACTAATCTGCACTTTCCAGTGAGACCAAGACTCCAACACATTAAGTTAATAACTAATGATCTTTGCGACGGAAGTGAATTAATCAAAAATAACTTTATTCTAGATCTGCTGTAAAGCCTAAACACTCTCTGTGACTGTAATCTCCTGTTATTATCACTGTAAAGCTGCTGTGGAGCATCTGTGTTGGTAAACTGCGCTGTATAGATGAAGCAGAGTCAACGCTCAGCCGCTCGTTTGGTCGTTCACCGTGAAACACACACACTTCACACACACTGCTCACGGGACGCTTCAATGCCAGTTCAGCGGAAGATGACGGCGAGAGGTGAGAAACACACACACACACACACCAGCCGACGGAGCTTCAGTTTCAGAAACCGAAACCCTGCTGTGAAACCCACACGGGCCAGAAGTGAAACCCTCCTGCATTCGGCCCATCAGAAGCCGAACCAGATCAACACACTCCTGCTCTACTTCATAATCGAGTTACAGCTAATAATACTGCCATTCTACACTATCAAAGTACACTTCATCCTTCAATTACATAGAATACTTAATCAGTGAATACTCTAAAATACTACAATAGCTAAATACACTTCGTTCTCCAATTATATAAAATACTGAATACCCTTAAAATACTACATTCTATACAATACTATAATATCAAAATATACTTAATACTTCAATTATATAGTATACTCAATTAGTGAATACTCTAACTTACCACACTAACAAAATACACTTCATTCTTCAACTAAGGTTAACGTTACACAGCTACTCTAAACTAGAGAACACTCAAAAATACTGAAATCTATAAAATACATACACTTAATTCTTCAATTATATAGAATAATCGTATACTGAATACTCTAGAAATACTACAAAATCAAAATACACTTCATTCTCCAACTAACGTTACAGAGAATTACTCTTAAAACACTGAATAATATTTGTTTCAGCAGGTCTCTGAAGTTTATTTGAGTTTTCAGTTCTCAGTTCGAGCTGAACATGGTTTATGCTTTAACTTTGATCGTAAGTTCGAGTTTTGAAAAGTTTATTTTTGTAATTATGATCGTTGAAAGAAGCTGACTGACTTTAGTTCGGTGTTTCCCAGCGCTCGGGGAACAAAAGCTACTGACGTCCGCGCGCGTCGCGGGAAACTCACGCACTCGCGCACTCACGAGCCCGCGAAACATCGGGAAACACACTGCAGTTCAGGCAATCATTTCACGGTAAATACTCACGGGACAGCGAGCGGCGGGTCGGGTCGGTAAATACTCACGGGACAGCGAGCGGCGGGCCGGATCGGTAAACACGGTCCTTCAGATCATCTTCATCCCGCGGCCGAACACGCACGGAGAGCCGTGGGGGAACACGGAACCGCAGCCCAGCACAAAACACGCACAAACACACTTCTAAACACCTTCAACCGAGTGAAAACTGTATTCATACTTACAAAAACATCACTTACGATACCTGACGTGGGCAGACGCGGATATGATAACTATTTCATATTGAGATAAAGAGGCTGCACCCCCGCGTCCGAATGGACTCGGCCAAGCCGTCACACAATATTACTACGCATTATTACAACAACTGAACTAATACACACACACGACACGGAAAGTTTTCCTCTGTTCAATTAATCTGTTCAAGTTTATGAACGAGTTCACACAACATCTGGCTAGTAATAATATATGTATGATACTTTGATAAATTGTTAAAATGTCAACAGACATTGTGTACTTGATAATTGTAGATGGATGGATAAGGGAAAGTGTAGATCTGAGTCTTTTTAATCACATTTGGTCCTGCAGTGAGACCAGTGGATTCTGACACTCATGGGTGATAATGTCCCAGTCCTGATCCCGGTTACAGCTCTACATGAGACTTGAAGCAGCTTTATAGATAATAATGCAATAAAGTTTCCAGTAGAGAATAGCGTCACAGTCCACACGTGTGACACACACACATCATTATTCAGTAAACTTGGTAACCACTCTTTATCAAATCTTGAATCCAGAATGAAGGGCCTGGTTTCACAGACAGGGTGAAACTTAGATGTTTCTTAGTAAAGCATATACTTTAAAAGTGGGGTCAATTCAATGTTATATTGTTTGAGTGAATTGTATTGCAAAGGAAACTTCAAGTAAATAGATATTACTCAACCTTTCACTACACAAGTTAAAATTACTGATTTTCTTTGTTACTTTCTCTTCAGTTAAGCAGAGTTTACTCTATTCCATATGTGAAATGTACTTACATATCCATGCAAAAACTTGCCAAATAAAAATTAAGTAAATGTTATTAAAATATAATGTTTATTTCAGTGTTTCCGGCGTCCGTGGACACACAGATCAACAGTACAGCTGATATTACAGTCACTGTAACACAGGGTTCATACAGTATTACAGCGGTTTACAGTTATACAGTACAGGTTCAGTTCTGCTGAATAAATACATCATATACATCACAAACACTGATAATAATAATAGAAGCTCCCTGAACTGAAGACTGTTACAGTCAAACATGGTAAAATCCCGTAAAAAGGACAGAATCACATGCATTTCACACACAAGTTCCCACTCGCACTGCAGACTGTAAGTGTAACTCAGATGTGTGTGTGTGTCAGATGTCAGCGGTGTGTGACGCTCGTCCTGCGCTCCGGCGCTCCTCGTCCTGCACAGATCTCCAGAGCGCTCGGATGTTCCCCTCGCCGAAGCCCGAGGCTCCTCTGCGCTCGATGAGCTCCAGGAAGAAGGAGTTCTCCCCGAACAAGGGCTTCGTGAACACCTGGAGCAGGAGCCTGCACACACACACACACACACACACACGGTTATGGGTTTGCTGTCTCAGCACTGTTACACGTTTAGCTGAGATAATATATAAAGTCGTTTGTTCAGGCATGGTTTTGTAGGGAATTATAAACCTGTGCACATTATTCAAACACACATAACTATAGAATCGGTTCTTAATGCGCATGTGAACGCCGTCAGCGTTTATCACAGGTTCAGTTTAAAGTCTGTTTAGAGACATTAATATACATTATTACCGTACAGTTACTGTAAACCCGGCCTCTAGTTCAGAAAAGCCAGAGGAGAACTGGCCCTGACTGAGCCTGGGTTCTCCCAAGGGTTTTTTCTCCATCGGGTCGCCTGATGGAGTTTCAGGACACCATTGGGTCACCTGAGTTTTTCGGTTCTTTGTCACTGTTTCCTTTGGCTTGCTCAGTTGGGGATATTCAAATTAATTAACCAATCAGTAATCCCCTTGATCAGCTCTACCAAACGTGGATGTTTTTCCTCTAAGAAACGAACATTATTATGTTCTGATTGATACTGTGAAGCTGTTTTGATGATCTATATTATGAAAAGCTCTATTTAAATATACTTGACTTGAGGTATAAATATATAATAATACTTAACAAAAGGTCCATCAAAATCTCTTCTGGGCATAAATGACGCAGACAGCAGTGTGTGTGTTTGTGTGTTGACAGCAGTGTGTGTGTGTTTGTGTGTCGAACCTTTGACTGTGTGTGATCCGGCTGTCTCGGTGTGTGCGAACATCAGTGTCCAGGAGAATCCCGTACCGGCTCAGTGTGTGAGGATCGAGCCCCGCGTCCAGGATCTCCTGCAGCTTTCCCACCTACACACACACACACACACACACACACTATTATGAGCCATGTATGATCTACAACAGCACTGTGTGCACATGGATTATTGATCATTATTCAAATATCATCACTGGCATCAACTGACATTCTTTTATCATTATAAAATCAAAAACAATTGAACAAACAATGAATGAAACCTGATGATTCCAAAAAACATATTTTTACACTTATTTTATTAAGATCGGGCTTAATAAGAAATGGAGCACAATCTGATAAAAAAAATACCAGAAAATTAGATTTTATATTGAACCTGTTAACTATAGTGGGCTTTCATTTAATAATATGTGACTATGTGTGTGTGTGTGTGTGTGTGTGTGTGACCTCAGTGTAGTACGCGGCTGGAGGAGAGTAGAGCTGCACTCCCGCGAGTCTCAGTGTGTGTGCGGTCCTGACGATGTTCTGGGTGTAGAGCCCGATGTGTTGCACACCTGCTCCTCCGTGCTGATGCAGGAACGAGTCCATCTGATTACTGCCTGAGACACACACACACACACACTTATTAAACACACAACTCAAGACGCTCACTTAAAGATATGGGTAACACTTTACAATCAGGTTTATTAGTTAACATGAACTAATAATGACCACATATGCGTACATCTGTGTGTGAGATGTAAAGTGTGTGTGTGATGCGTGACCGTGCCTTGCTGAGGAAGAGACTCTCCAAACACAAACTTGCAGTCGGGCTCGAGCTCGTCTGTGCTGGGCGGAGCGACTCGCGACTCCATCGCTTTGAGCCGGAGCCCGATCTCGTCCTGGTTCAGCACGTACCCCGCCTCCTCGGACTCGTCACTGCAGGGAGAGCCGCATGAGCACAGACAGGAGGAGGTCGCATGCGCATCGAACACTTCGGCAGACACCAATCAAAAGCGCTGAATTCAAGTCGCACGTTGTTTTGGTTCACGCTCTCCCTGCTGGGACTCAAACCCGAGACTTTAACGTTAAACTCTCTACAGTTTGACTGTTCTCTTAGAACTTGCAATGCATTCAACGCATATACACTGGATCGGTTCAATCAAACCCATAACATTTGCATTTAATCTCCAGCTGTAATCCTAACGGAGATATGTGTCGTCACTCGGCCCTGGGTGGGCAGGAGACTGAGTGATGATGCTGCTGATACCTGTCGATGAAGAACCTCCGGTAGCCGAAGTTCTGCTGGTACCAGCGGGTGAGGAGTGCCGTGCTGCCCCGGGGACACGCGTACGTGATGTGATCGAAGTGGCTGATGGGACAGTGCGCGCGCTCCGCGGTCTGCGACCCCGCTTCGACGGCGCTGAAACCCGGCAGGAACAGACCCCGGTACCGGGAGCAGTCGATGAGCGTGTGGCACACGTTCCCCACGGCGGACCGGAGCACGGAGAAGCAGACCTGCCCGCGGGCATCGCGGACCTCGGTGGGCGGCTGGAGGAACTCGCAGAGACCCTGATCCCGCAACGCCCGCGACGCGCGCTCCACGCACTCCACCTCGAAACACACGTTACTCACGGTGTCCACCGGGTAGTGCGCATGCGCCCCGTAGAGACATCTCAGGTCCCGGTGGTCTCGAGCGGCCACGGAACTCCAGCCACGTGACTGAGATTCGGTCACCGGCTCGTTCGGCCTCTCGTTGACCACGAACACGGCCGATCCCCTGCGGAGTGCGAGCTGCTTCACTCGGTCTGTCACTCTGGCCGCAAACAAATTAAACTGGAACTGGGACACGAGCTTCTGAGCAACATTATCCACGTTTGAGACGTGCAGTGCAATGTGATGCAAGCGAGTCAAGGAGGCCGCCATGTTGGCGTGACGTCACGCAGAAGCGTTTCAATCGGACACGCCTCTCTGTTACATACCACACATCACTCAATGATTTTAACTAGTTTTAAATCGGATGAAACAGCCTTAAAATTCCTAACACTACTGATGAGGTAAAGAGCAGAAACATGAACAAAGTTAGAAGACGATAAATCCCCTAATCACTTTACAAACGTTTACCCTGGATGTAATAATTGACCATGGTTTTGGGCAGAAATCTGGAATATTTAAATTGAATATGTTATTGTGAAGACATGACCAGAGCAAAGGCAGGAGACACTGCTTGCAGTCAGTGAAATTCCAAATAAAGAATATTAAAAAAAAAAAACCTAAACAAAACTCACTCAAGGTGACCCTCCTCACCTGACTGCTTTCACGGACAACAAACATACATTCCTTTATACTGAAAGGGTCAACCTATTTACAGTAGGGAAATTAAATAATGTTCACACACATACCACTACACTTAAAATGAAAATAATATTCAAAATACATCAACCTTAATTATACAAGGAAAATAATACGAATAATAAACAAATACATTTCTACATACAATGAACATAAACACAATGAAACATCAAACAATAACCCCCTGCTCCCATTGAGAAATGGACTAGGGGATGGCATTTTTTTTTTTTTTTTGGGGATGGCATAACATTTTTTTTGTTTGTTTTTTATAACACACACACACATATATATATATATATATATATATATATATATACACATACGTATATATATATATGTATATGAAGAGTTCAGATGCAAAATCCTCTAAGTGCCATATGAAATTTTCTTCTAGAATGATAATTTTTATCAAGCTTGTATATTTAAGTGCAGTGATTTCACTTAAATGGCAATGATAATTACCTATCAATTGTTATTTAAGTGAAATTACTGAACTTATACAAGTTTGATAAAAATCATCATTAAAGAAGAAAATTTCAAATGGCATTTAGAGGCTTTTGCATCTGAACTCTTCATATATATATATATATATATATGTACAAAAATACTAGATAATATGTTTTATTATGAGCTTTTAGCATGAAAACCAAAGTTTCAATTATTGAATCTGTCATGATCCTGGCTCTCTTCTCTTGTTTTGTCGGTCTCTGTCTCCCTCTTGTGGTTACTCTCTCTGTCTCTGTTCCCTATCTTTCCCAGCTGGTTCTCTTGTAATTTTTACACCTGTTCTCCATCTTCCTTCATTAGCTGCTCTTTATTTCTAGTCATGTGTTTCAGTCTAGTTTGTCGGATTATTGTAGACCGTCACGTTTGTTTTTGCTATTGAACCTTTGTGTCCAGTCCAGTCCAGTCCAGTCCAGTATTGTCCAATTGTCAGAGATCTTCCAGTTGTGAGCGGTTTCCTGATAGAGGTCCAGAGAAGGCGTGAGAAGTCAGCGTGTTGAGATTGATAAATATTGTGCTCTCATTTATATTTGATTTGTTTATTTTATTTTGGAACAAAGCAATCATGTTGCATAGTGTATGTCATGTGACCCCTTAGTGATTGATTGGATGCACATGTGTCTGTTTAAATAAACTGCGCCAGTCAGAAAGAAACTGGTTGATGTGAAAATATTACCCTGTTGTCTGCCTAAGTTACTCTGCTAACACAGCGCTTCACCTGATCTTCCTTGCTGCACATTTGCATGTAGTTGTGTTCCTAATGACTTTAAAGAACTGTGTTCTCAAAGACCTTCAAGCCAATTAAGAAGAGTTTTTCTGTTGATCGGCCGATGTGGCCCAGCCTTGTTTCTATTAAAGTAAACCTCCGTTCTGTCTCCCGAAGCCTCCTTCTCTCTCTCTCTCTCTGTGTGTGTGTGTGTGTCAACCTTTTGTGACAAAAGTCAGAACTCCTGTTATGATGCAGATTTTTTGAGGTGTCTTGTCAAAAATTCCTCTGTTACTCTTCCTACATAATTTGTAGCAAAAAACAGTTAGTTTTTATATTAATTTAATAATTAGATTATGATTTAACAGTAATATAGCGAAGTAAACTTGGGCGTCATGTATACGGGACAGTGATAATTTAAATGATCAACACCCTTGTTTGATGTTCGTATTATTTATTGGATGCCTTGGTGTTGTATTATTATTATTTTTTTAAGAAGTAAGGACCTAATTTATTTTCACAATTGAATGTTTTTTTAGCTTGAAGTTGCATTAAATATTGCCTAAAAAAGAAATGAAAACACAAATAAAATGAAAATAAAATAATAAAAAACGAATTTCTCATTCTAGGGTTGGTTTTCACATGGTGTGGAATCGTCCAATCGGCAGCGGTGGGTTTGGTCACGTGCTCGTGACGGTGCGCAAGACGCTGGTCGTTTTTTATTTTGTCAGCGCCGCCATTAAATCCGCATCTAAATCAACATTCAGAGCTTAGAATCAGTATTCATCGATTTAAAAACATTCAACGATTTTTATGAAGCTCGGAGAACAAACAACGCAATGGAGTTCGAATAACAACAGTAAAGACTGACTGAGGTGGTTTAAGTCTCATTAATGAGGAGTCGCGCGCGGAGCGATGTGAGTATTTACATGTTTTAGCGTTTATATGTGTCTGTCGGAGTATTAATGCGACTGGAATACAAACAAGAGTGTCTCTGAGTGTCTCTGAGTGTTGTGTGCGGGACGAGTGTCAATAATTAGAAGATTAAAACAGTCAGTAATAACAACTGAACTGTGACATAAGGGTGACAGTAGATATTAACACTGTCAGTGCTGTGATAAAACATGAATACTGTCATTAATAACATAAGAACTGTCAGTGCTGAGATAACATAATTTAATACTGTCAACAATAACATCAGTATTGTTATTAATACTGTCAATAATATTGTCGTAAATATTGTCAATAATAACATCAGTACCGTCAGTGCTGTGATATGACATTAATACTGTCGTTAATGACATCAGTGCTGTCATGTTATGTATTTTTGACATGTCTTGTTTTATTTTGTGTTTGCAGATTTCTGTCTCCGCCTCAATGTGTGACTCTGATGTAAGTGTGTGTTGAGTGCGTGTGTGTGTGAGTGAGTGAGTGAGTGTGTGTGTGTGTGTGTGCTGATCCATCATGACAGAGCTGTGTGTGAAGTGGTCGTGTGAGTACTGCACGTATGAAAACTGGCCGTCTGCTATTAAATGCACCATGTGTCGGGCGCAGAAACCCAGCGCAACCATCATCACAGCGGACCCATTCCCGGGCAGAACCGACCCGACCCCGGTTCTCATCTGTCCCGACTCCAGCGCGCGGCCCCGGGTCCGGTCGGCCCAGTCCGTGGAGCCCAGCGGGAAGTGGTCGTGTCAGGTGTGCACGTTCCTGAACTGGCCCAGATCGGTGCGCTGTACTCAGTGCCGAAGCCTCCGGGCCACAGAACCACCGTCCGGGACCGGCCGGCCCGCGTCGGACCCGTGTGAGGAGTACAACGACCGGAACCGGCTCAACATGCGCGTGCAGTGCTGGACCTGCTCGGGCTGCTCGTACGAGAACTGGCCCAAATCGGCTCGCTGCGTGGTGTGTGACCAGGCCCGACCCAACGACGCCTACCAGCCCGCCGAGCCGGACGAGATCAACGAGCTCTCCGCCGTGATCAACGAGACGGAGCGCAGGCGCGCGCGGGGTGTGTGTAGCGGAGCGCGCCGACACTCGCCCAGCTCGTCCACGCGCGAGGCCGAAGTGCAGATCGAGCTCGCCGCCGGCGCTCAGAGCGGGAGAGACGACAGAGAGGTGGACTTCAAGAAGCTCAAGCAGATCAAGAACCGCATGAGGAAGACGGACTGGCTGTTCCTCAACGCCTGCGCTGGTGAGTGACACTTCCTGTCTAAGGGCCCTTCACACTGAGCCCGAAAGAAATACGGCCTGTCACGCTTGCACACTGTCTCGTTGTTCTGCGTTTGTCGCATCCATAGCAAGCCGTTTTAATGGAGTTTTGACGATTCAGAGCCACCGGATCACGAATACGATCAAACGTGATAATCCGGGACTCCGTGTGCGAGGGCCTATTTTAGCCATCTAACACACGTCTAAAGTGCACTTAGGGCGTCCAAATCCACTTTTGCTAGTTTAATGACGGGCGAAGTGGTCGGCGCTCGCGGCGCTGGTCTAACAGCGTGTCTCCATTCTCTTAATCAGTAACGGGTGCGTTTTGGGCGTAATGCAATCAACCAATCAGAGTCTCGTCTCCCATTCCCTTTAAAGGAGTAGTTCACTTTTGAAAAAACTTTTGCTGATAATTTACTCGCCCCCGTGTCATCCAAGATGTCCATGTCTTTCTTTCTTCAGTCGAAAAGAAATGAAGGTTTTTGATGAAAACATTCCAGGATTTTCTCCATATAATGGACTTCAATGGGAACCAAACGGTTCAAGGTCGAAAAGAGAGTTAATAACAGTTTCAGATGCAGCTTCAAATGTCTTTAAACGACACCAGACGATGAATAAGGGTCTTATCATGCGAAACGATCGCTTATTTCAAAACTTATTCCAAAAATGTAACTTTTCTAAGGACAAATGCTAGCCTTGCTCTATTCTGTGAGGCGCGTTTGTAACGTCAAAAGGTCACGGGCGACGTAGCCGGAAGTACAGAGTCAGTGTTTACAAGTTGAACGCATAGGTTGAACGTGCAAACTAACTCAAACGCCGTTTACAAAAAAAGGAATTAAAAGGTAAAACAACGATGTCGGACGATTTTGATTCTGTACTTCCGGCTACGTCGCCCGTGACCTTTTGAACGTAATTACGTATTACGTGACGTTACAAACGCGCCTCACAGAATAGAGCAAGGCTAGCATTTGTCCTTAGAAAAGTTACATTTTTGAAATAAGTTTTGAAATAAGCGATCGGTTCGCATGATAAGACCCTTATTCATCGTCTGGTGTCGTTTAAAGACATTTGAAGCTGCATCTGAAACTGTTATTAACCGTCTTTTCGACCTTGAACCGTTTGGACCCCATTGAAGTCCATTATATGGAGAAAATCCTGGAATGTTTTCATCAGAAACCTTCATTTCTTTTCGACTGAGGAAAGAAAGACATGGACATCTTGGATGACACAGGGGCGAGTAAATTATCAGCAAAAGTTTTTTCAAAAGTGAACTAATCCTTTAAAAGCCAGAGGCGCTCGCATCGCGTATTCGCTATTTACCCGTCTATAGGCGCACATTACTCTTAAATAGTATAAGACACTGTGCGTTGGGTTCAGTGGGTCAACGGCTCAGTGTTTCGCCGCTCCTGAACACACACTCGTTCTCCCGCCGCCCACGGGCCGCAGATGCAGTCGCAGCGCAGCGCCGGACGACACGGAGCAACCTAGTCTGAAACCAGCGACACACACTCGCCTGGCGCCGCACTGCTCCAGCTGTAGTCTCGCTGAGCCAGATCACACACACACACACACACACACACACACCGCTCCTGTCAGTGTCAGTTTGAATGGGGAAAGATTGACATGCTTGTCACGATTACTGTGGTAAACATGAGATCATCCTCGACAGACTGAATCGAACATTTCATTCCAGCATCTCTGCATTGTCTGGGTGTAATTCCACTCAGTGATGTCATGATGATGATGACGATGATGATGTCATGTGCTGGGCTGCGCTGTCTTCTGTTTGCACTGATGCTCGTGTCGTCCAGCGTTCATGTACCTGACGTCAGGCAGCGCTGGGATTGGACGCGTTCGGCATCCGTCTGCTCTATTATTACATTTATGCGTTTGCCAGATGCTTTTATCCAAATCCACTTGCTTTGCATTCATGGCACACTTTTGATGCATTCCCAAATAAAATATTCATAGTGTATATTATAATGTGATTAGGTGTAGCGACCATTGTGTATCAAAACAAATAAAAACAATTTTAAATAATGGTTATAGAACATACATTTATATATTACCAAACACTTTGTTGCTGAAATGATTGAAACACTGTTATTAATATCATTGCACAACAACAAGTAAACACACACACACACACACACACACACACAGTGACCTTTACTCTGATTCCGAAGCATCCGAGGCGTGCGAGTGTGTGTCAGTGAGCGGCTCGTGTTCTGGGGCTGGTCATGTGACTGACCTCTTCAGACGCTGCCCTTTAAAACATGTAATCGTCATAACTCATCATCATGAGCGGATCCCGAACGTGTGGAGCGAGTGAACAGTGTGTTACACCGAACTCTGAGCGACAGCGGGAATGCTGCAAAACACACAAACGCACATAAATCCACGATCCCCGGATCTGTGTGAGGTGTAAGGAGCACTATATCGAGTCCAAGCTTTAGTTTAAACTGATAATCGTTCGTTTCTCCTGTTAAATCAGATCAGCTCAGTGTCGCCGCGTATCCTCTGCTGCGCTGGTGAAGGGTCATAGAGGCTCTCGTGAAGGCAGAAACACAGCAGTTCTGCATCATCTCTCTCTCTGTGTGTGTGTGTGTGCGCAGGTGTGGTCGAAGGCGATCTGCCGGCGGTCGAGGCCTATAAGTCGTCAGGCGGTGACATCGCGCGTCAGCTGACCGGTGATGAGGTGCGTCTGCTGAACCGGCCCTCCGCCTTCGATAGCGGATTCACACTCGTACACCTCGCCATACGCTTCCAGAGGCAGGACATGCTGGCCGTGCTGCTGACAGAGGTGTGTGTGTGTGTGTGTGATCAGCTGATCGCTGGATTGTTTGAATGAGATTGTCCTGATGTGTGTGTGTATTTAAAAATCATTACGTATAGCAAAACAAACCTGTGTGTGTGTGATCGCAGGTGTCCCAGCGCGCAGTGAAATGCATCCCAGCGATGGTCTGCCCTGAACTGACGGAGCAGATCCGCAGAGAGATCAGCGCATCACTGCACCAGCGCAAGGGAGACTTCAACTGCTACTTCCTGACTGACCTCGTCACGTTCACACTGCCGGCAGGTGGGACACACACTCAAACACACACTCACACACACACTTAGGGCTGGGCAAAAAAATAGATTTTTCGATTAATCGTTTTTTAAAATGTGTTCGGCCACGAATCGATTTTTTCCATATAAAGGGCTCGCGGATGCGGTGCTGCATCTTCTCGTCTCTCTGCACTATAGCCAAGCGCTGCAGCTGTCGATACACACACGCGTTCAGGAGTCGGGACACGACGGAATATTCACTTAACAATCGGGCCAGCATTGCATCGTAACCTATGATCGTAACTAACGTTTATCATTTTCACGTCTTTTTGAGTTTTACAAGCAATGTTAACCATCCCGTGCTCGCGCACTCTCAGAGATGTCTTTCACTGTGTGCACAGTAACGTTACAGCCTAAATCTGCCTCACAAACAGCTCGCCAGAAACAAAAGTTTTATCCCTGGATTATATCTCTTTAACAGTTAAAACACGCGACATTATGTCAAAACTCTGGTCTTGGTGAGTGACCTCCTAAAGACAGTCGGTAATGTCTTAAATTAGCATTAAACGTGTGTGACAGAAAGTTAATGAAACAGTAATGGATTCGCACACTAGTTCTTAAAGTGAACGCAGCCATTTGTGTCAGTCATTAATTCTGTTGTCATAACAACAGAATATAGTATTAATTGTAAGCAATCAGAATTAATAGCCTTTGTATTTAATTCAGTCTGGACTAAAAAGACTATCCAGTGTTATTTTACATTGGATTACTTTATTCAGTTTCTGTAGTATTTCTGACATACCCAAAAAACTACCCCAAAATGTCTCTTAATTTGTGTCTTTATTCTATTGTATTTATTTGTGCTACTTTTTTCAATTTAATTCAAAGATTGAAATCAAGCTTCCATACATAAACTCTTAAAACAAAAATAAACAAAAAATTACATTACCATTTAGGTAAGATCAATGTAAAAAAAAAAAAGTCTAAATATTTATATATTTATTTATCTTAAACATAAAATAACATGATACTGTTTGATCAAGCTGTGCGACTGTTCTGACTTTTTTTGCATATTGCATCAAAATCCTGTTTATTCTCTGTATGCATTTAGTGTACCTAAAATAAAAAGAGTTTTATATGCAGGTTTATGGCTCTTAATTTCCTTGTATTAATTAACCACTAGTAAACTTATGTCCACTGTTCTTTTTTATAAATATAGGATTTATATTACATCTTCATTATAGTCGAATCGAGAATCAAATCAGGAATCGAAATTGAATCGAGAATCGAAATCGAATCGAACTGAGAGCTTGTGAATCGAAATCGAATCGAAATTGAAATGTGAATCGATACCCAGCCCTACTCACACTCAAACACTCACACTCACTCACTCACTCACTCACTCACTCACTCACTCACACACTCACTCACTCACACACTCAACACTCACTCACACACTCAAACACTCACACTCACTCACTCACTCACTCACTCACTCACTCACACACTCAAACACTCACTCACTCACTCACTCACTCACTCACACACACACTCACTCACTCACACACTCAAACACTCACTCACACACTCAAACACTCACACTCACTCACTCACTCACTCACTCACTCACTCACTCACACACTCAAACACTCACTCACTCACTCACACACTCAATCACTCACTCACTCACTCACTCACACACTCAATCACTCACTCACTCACTCACACACTCAAACACTCAATCACTCACTCACTCACTCACACACTCAAACACTCACTCACTCACTCACACACTCACACTCAAACACACACTCAATCACTCACACTCAAACACACACTCACACTCACTCACTCACGATGGCGTCTGTGTTTGACAGATATTGAGGATCTTCCTCCTGCCGTTCAGCAGAAGCTGTTTGATGAAGTTCTGGACCGAGACGTGCAGAAGGGTGAGGCGCTGCAGGCCTGTTATTACAGCAGGGTGTGTGTGTGTGTGTGTGTGTGTGTGCAGTGTTCCTCACGCAGTGTGTGTGTGTGTGTGCAGAGCTGGAGGAGGAGTCTGCGGTCATCAACTGGTCTCTGGAGTCGGGCTCGCGTCTGGACTCGCGTCTCTACGCCCTGTGGAACCGCACCGCCGGAGACTGCCTGCTGGACTCGGTCCTCCAGGCCACATGGGGCATCTGTGACAAAGACTCCGTGCTGAGGAAGACCCTACACGACAGCTTACACGACTGCTCGCACTGGTGTGTGTGTGTGTTCATGCACAGATTCTCTCTGTATCTGATTTGTTTAGATAACTGATTTAATGACGAGCATGTGTGTGTGTGTGTGTGTGTGTGTGTGTGCAGGTTCTACACTCGCTGGAAGGAATGGGAGTCGTGGTATTCACAGAGTTTTGGGCTTCACTTCTCTCTGAGAGAGGAACAGTGGCAGGAGGACTGGACCTTCATCATCAACCTCGCCAGTCAGGTACACACACACACACACACACACACACACACACACACACACTGACAGTGATTCTTTTAGCAGAATTTAGCCTGTTTTTATGATTGTGTGTGTAATATGATCTCTGATGTGATTCCTAGAGGTGTTTCTTTGGTCTTTAACTGTTTTGAATATGACTTACACACACACACACACACACACACACACACACACACACAGTGCATCAGTGTATGACGCGTGATGATCTGTGATGTGTTGCAGCCCGGGGCGAGTCTAGAGCAAACACACATCTTCGTTCTGGCTCATATCCTGCGGCGGCCCATCATCGTCTACGGGGTGAAGTACTACAAGAGCTTCCGGGGAGAAACTTTAGGGTTCACTCGATTTCAAGGTGAGCCGTTCAGAAGAGATCTGCAGTGTCTTATAGAACACACACAACTGTGACTCGTGTGTGTGTGTGTGTGTGTGTCCAGGTGTTTACCTGCCGTTGCTATGGGAACAGAGCTTCTGCTGGAAGAGTCCGATTGCTCTCGGTTACACGAGAGGTCACTTTTCTGCTCTGGTCGGCATGGAAACGGACGGTTGTGATAATCGTGGTGCAGGCGCCAATCTGAACACCGATGAGGACGTGAGCGTGACCTTCCTGCCGCTGGTGGACAGCGAGAGGAAACTACTACAGATACACTTCCTGTCAGCACAAGAGGTAAACACACTCACACACACATCGGGCTTGTGCAAAATTCAGGATTTCAGAATTGGCCTCCATTCAATTCATGAATTGGAATTTGAATTGAATTGACTCCGCCCCCCAAGAAGTGGCAGGAAGTGGAATTAAATTCATGGCAATTCAAAGAAATTCCACACAGTCACAGAACAGAAAGAATGTGTTGAGTCTCACATAGGGGAGAGCGGGGCACAACGTAACGCTTCTTGACTTTCTCAGTTTGTGCAAATCTATTTAGAGTATTTATTTTTTCCCACATTAATTCCCCACATGTCTAGAACAATTATTTGGTTTTGTTTTACTAATACAGTGTATACTTTTTTCTTGATTTACCCTGAAATAAATGTTAAATGTGACAACATGCCCCATAGGTGGGGTACATTGTAACATCACCATATGACAGCTTAAAATGCTATCTCACCTAATCAAAAAATTATACAAGTCAAACCAAAATTATTAACTTTTTCATATAAAATAATGGTATTTTTTAATAATTAAAAATAATCTAATTTTTGATTTTGACAACAAACACACAGGAAAACACACATTACAGAATAGTTCAAAACAAAATAATAATTAATCATTTCTGAACATTGACTTTCAGTCTTTATTTACATGTTTCTCATGTTTTCTCAATAGAATTCATAAAAGTATAGAATATAATAGCATATTTCTAATAGGGGCACAATGTAACGCAGTGTGACAACATGCCCCCAACTGCACAACTGGGGTTTAAAAACCCGGCTAGTTAGCGAAGCATTAAAGGACTATATCAACTGTTAAACTACAGATTAGAGATTAAAAAAATATCAGATTTGTGTAATTTTAATTAAACACAAAAAAAGGAGATGAAAAATTAACTTAAGTAGGAAATGTGCTTTTGCTATGGTTAAATGTTCAGTGATATCTCACAAAGATCTGAATTTTGGCGCAAATTTTTCTCTGTATAGTGTTGAAATGGCAACTAGTAAATACATCAAGTTTCGTCATGCTAGCGTGTGGAAGTGTTTAAAACAAGTGTGTTACAACTAGCCTACAGTCAGGGTTAGGAAGGTTACTTTGGAAATGAAGTTAACCCATTATAAATGTGGTTTAGATTAATTTATTTGGATTACTTTATCAATGTAAAGCAATTTCCTTTTAATTTGAAATTCCCCCTAAAGATTTACTAAAGTAATTCTGGGAAATGGCCTTACAATTACAATAGATCAAACTTATTATTTGTTCTGTGACTAGAGATTTTAACATTTATTGCTGGAGGAAAACATTTCCTGGTGGTTCAAACTAGTATAATTTATATAATATGCAATCATATCTGACATACTGTGTATATTGTGAAGCTACATTGTTCAACACTTCACTTAAAATATCTATATGAATTTCTTAGAATTTTTATTGAATTGTAATTCTGCTTCCTGTTTTTGACATCAATTCAAATTCAAGTATTGAATTGGAATTTAGTAGTCATTCTCAATTCAATTCTGAATTGTGCACAAGCCTGACACACACACACACACACACACACACACACACGGTGCAGAATTTCGGCTGTTTTTATTGTGTGTGTGTGTGTGTGTGTGTGTGTATGCCCTGCTCATGTCCTGTCTTGTATTTTGCTGTGATCTTTAACTGGAAACAGTGTTCTGAATAAGAAATAAACACACACTGCACTGGCTGTTATATAGTCATATGGACTTCACTGTGTGTGTGTGTGTGTGCGCAGATGGGCAGTGAGGAGCAGCAGGAGCGTCTGCTCAGGGATTGGCTGGACTGCTGTGTGACGGAGGGCGGGACGCTAGCGGCGCTGCAGAAGAGCATCAGGCGCAGACGTCACCCGCTCGTCACACACATGCTGGAGAAGTGGCTCGACGGGTACCGGCAGACGCTCGCGTGCCCCTCCGACGGCGAGGACGACGACGACGACGACTGACACACATCTCAGCACACTAGCGCTGTCACACGTACCGACTCCGGTACCTAGTTGTGCTGACATCTTAAAGATGTGGCGCTTTGAGCGCTGTTGCGGAATCGTGAACGCCTCTGATTGGCTGTTGTGTTCATGAGCTCATCGGATGCGTCTGATTGGCTGCAATGATACATTATACATCAATGACAGTCTTCAGCGAGCGATTGCACACACACACACACGTAAGCGGTTCGGTCCAGCTAGTGCTTTCAAACGCTCCCTGATCACTGCAGCCAATCACAGTCATGCCCGAGCAGCGCGCGAACACAACAGCCAATCAGAGGCGTTTACGATGACGCTCAAAGTGGCACGTTTTTGCAACTTTAGGAGCGACTTGGTACCGAACTCGGTGCTTTTGACAAGACAACAACACACGCTACTCTTTCCCAGAATGCAATGCAACCCCCTCCCCAAACATTGAGGGCTATCTTTGTGTTTAGTCACATGAATTTGTTTTTTTCTGTACGTTTGTGTCCGTCGTGCTGCATGTGGCTCTTTAAACACGGAATGATGAAATATAAAGAGCTTATTAAACGAGCGCTCACACAATGTTTATTGTTTAGAGGTTTCCGTAGAAACGCTAAAACTGACAGGAAGCAGCGTCACACTAACGACACGCACACCTCTCTCTCACCAGTGTTCCTGTTTCTGACACGTGTGCGTTTCTTTCTTCTTTTGATTGTATTTATTTTTGTCTGGATGCTGACCCCTGTGTTGACCTTTGACCTGTACTGATGTCAGGTGATCCAGAACGGCTTTAACATTAAAGTAGAAACACGTCTGCTCTCTCTCGCCTGCTGTCTCTTTATTCTTTATAAGTACGGTTTACACGTTCGTGAGCGCAGAAATCATTCCCACAATCCACAGGGTGTCTACTCGTCATTGGTTAATCACACACACACACACTTCCAGAAGTCATTCAAGCGTTCCGCTCAGAGAAAGCGAGTCCCTTCATGAACCTGCTGTGGTTTATTGTTCATCAGAAACTCCTCGTTCTCGCGTCGAGCCGCTACGGAAGCCCGTTGACATATTAGAAAAAACATGCTTTGGTAAATCCTTAAAATGTTAATTTGTCAATTAAGTTACTTGTATTTTTGACTTTGTATGTCATAAGTATTACTTGTGCCATAATTAGAACTTTATATCATAATTCGGACTCATAGTTATTAGCTACTTATGTCATGCTTTTTAAAATCAGTAATGGGTGACTCATACCTAACCCTGAATGACGTCATAATGACATTTATATCGTATAATGTGTGCTTAAATATGAAGCTGTGTGAGTGAGTGAGTTTTTATGTTAGCGTGCGTGTGTGTGTGTGTGTGTGTGTGTGTGTTTAAGTGTGTGTACTGAACTTTACCCATAAGGTGATTCCTCTGGTGATTCTCACACTGAGGGTCAAAGTTCACACTGACTCTGACGAGTGTGTGAGAATCACACCATATTCTCATATTCAATTATATATAGTTTAAATGAAGCCAGTTTAACAACCTGCTTTCTCCTTTTCCTGCTGTGAGACATTCATGTTGTAACACTAACAGTCGTTATGAAGAGTGGCTCAAAGACAGGATGTGCGCATGCGCATCAGTACACGTGTCAGTCTGCGCATGCGCGGCCGTCCTACACGTGTTGCACAAAAGTCTCCCCAAAGAAAGTTTGCGAGTGTTTGCCGGCCGGCCTCATCGTTTTTCTCAGTGTCTCGGGACTTCACTCGCCTCCATGCCGCCGACGATACACCGCGGTTCGACAGCCGGTGAGTTCGGATCGGTTCTGATGCAACAGGTGACGCGTGCACGCGCTTCATCGGCACCAGCCGGGAGCTGTCAAACTCAATCTGATTTATGCAAATACTAATTGTATTTTTAATGTAGTGTGTGACCTGTGCTTGAGCTCTGAGTTCATAGAGAAATGACGATATTTTGATTAGTTTAAGCATCTCACGCTTTGATCTCTTGTGTTTTGATGGTGTGCGCGCGCACAGTGCATGCACGCTTTCTGCATTTAAATGAACCATTTTTTTTTGCTCAAAATTCACTAAAGATTATTCAAAAATATTTTTAATCCTGATTGCACATAGTTTTAGATTTTGTTTTAATCATTGTCACTGACTTATAATTTAAATTGTTATAAAACAGTTATTGAACTGAATTAAATTGAATCATATCTTCTGTAGAGCTGGTGTACAGCTGAAAATGATTGCGTGTCATATTTGATGAAGTTTCATTATTCTGTTATTTTCCTCTTTATTGACGTGAAGCTTCTTTTTTATAGTCTGTCATGTAGCATTACACAAGTAAAGCTGACTGTGTGTGTGTGTGTGTGTGTGTGTGTGTGTGTGTGTGTGTGTAGCAGGAAGAGCGCCGTCTCTCCGGGATGAACTCGAGCAGCTCCTGCATCAGAGGATTCTGGTTCTGGACGGTGGAATGGGAACGATGATCCAGCAGAGGAACCTGGAAGAGGAAGATTTCAGAGGTCAAGAGTTCAAAGGTCATCCCAAGAGTCTGAAGGGCAATAATGACCTGCTGAGCATCACTCAGCCGGACGTCATCTACAGCATCCACAAGGTCTGTGTGTGACACCACTGGTCACGGTCGGTCCCCTCTCTGAAACTGTGCGTAGGATCCGCGGTAAACGTGAATCTGCGGACAAAATATCGTACATCAAAAAATATTCAGGCGTATAAACCCGTACGTACGCCAGAATCCCCTTTATAACCCGTCAGAGGAAGAGTGTGTCCACATGCGTCTCCTCCCCGAAATAACCATATATGAGCTGACAATGCCACGTTTACCATATCTTCATCTGCATATCATTTGCATATCCTCATCTGGATATTTTTTTGTTCATTGCACTAGTTTCTAACGGTGTGTGTGTGTGTGTGTGTGTGTGCAGGAGTATCTGGAGGCCGGCGCGGACCTCATCGAGACCAACACCTTCAGTAGCACCAGCATCGCTCAGCAAGACTACGGCCTGGAGGATCTGGTGAATGTTTGCTTTTATTGTGTTTGTCATTAAAGTGCTCCTGTATTACTGAGGTCAGATTATAGACCATTTCAAAAGATGTAAACAACACTGGTCCAGAAGCACTTCCTGTTTCAGTTTTTTAACACTACATAAAAGCTGGGATAAAATACAACCAACAGAACATTTAAAACTGAATCAGAAAGTTAAACAAACATCTTTAAGATGTTTTCTTTACATGTGAAATAAAGAAAACAGTTACAAACTGAAACAGGAAGTGCTTCTGGACCAGTGTTGTTTACATCTTGTGAAATGGTCTATATATTGTGAATGTAAAAGCTCAAGTTTTTGGCTCCTAAAAGAAAGAAGCGATTCTGAACTGAACAGAGTCATCAGTAATTCAGTCGCACTTCCTGCGTGGAATTGTAACTAATTAGCATAATGTCCGCCTGTTGTCCTGATTGGCTGAGTAGCATCTCTTAGCTCCGCCCTCAAACACTAGTGTATCTGAGACTGGAAGAGTTCGGCTCGTGTTCATGTTTTCTGAGATTGATACGGTGAAACCCACGCCATCGTCACTGTTCAGATCACTGAGATCAAGAGCTGAGAGTCAGATATGATAATGAGCGTTCGCTTCCTGACCAATCAGAGCACAGCAGCTCTCAGAGAGGCGGAGCTTAGAGAGGCAGAGTCCTTGATGGAAGTGATTGACAGTACAGTGTTCATGACTTCACATGCTTCTGAACAACATTAGCAAGACAGGGCGCTTTAAATGATAAAGCATGACTTGTCGAGTCAGTAACGTGTGTGTGTGTGTGTGTGTCAGGCGTATCGGCTGAATAAAGCGTCTGCTGAACTGGCCCGGAGAGCGGCTGATGATGTCACAGCTCAAACAGGTCACACACACGGCAGTCTCTCTTCATCTGATGGTAGCGTGACGTTCGTAGCGTTTGTGACGGTGTTGTTGTCGTTGGCAGGTTGTAAGCGGTTTGTTGCAGGAGCTTTGGGGCCAACCAATAAAACCCTGTCTGTGTCGCCGTCAGTGGAGAGACCCGACTACAGGAACATCAGTAAGACTGTGTGTGTGTGTGTGTGTGTGTGTGTCGCCGTCAGTGGAGAGTGTGTGTGTGCGTGTTCAGTGTTAGGGTAACATCTGTGCTGCTGTTTGTCACGCATGACTTGAGTGTGTGTGTGTGTGTGTGTGTGTGTTCAGCGTTCGATGAGCTGGTGGAGGCGTATGAGGAGCAGGTGAAGGGTTTGCTGGATGGAGGTGCTGATGTTCTGCTGGTGGAAACCATCTTTGATACAGCTAATGCAAAGGTACGAGGACCTGACACACACCTGACTAGAGCCCTGCACAAGCCTCAAATCTAGGCCCTAGCCCGGCCCGTGTCCGACAGCTCATCAGAATGATCAGCCCGAGTCCGACCCGAGCCCGTTATTAAAAAAACACCTACACAGCCCGCCCTGTTGCAGCAGTCATTTAAACACACATGTTTTTGTCCTCAATGGCAAAGTAGTTACCGTTTAGATTATTTTAATTTCTTTACAAAGTTAATTAAGACTAATGTTTCTTTTTATTAATTTTTTTATGACGACAGCGAGTTAAACATGTTTGATCCATTTATAGCCTCTCAAATCAACACTTTACTTGGCTACAATAAAATCCATAGATATAAAACAACTTAAACATATTCACACAGACAGTTAACGTTAGTTGTCATTTTTGAAAAGCTGAGGCAAACTGCTCTGTTACAATACAATACAGAGAATGCAATCTAAACAAATCAAATAAATTACATTAAAAACAAACATGCAGGTTATCTTACCTCAATCAAGTCTTCACTACAGAACATGGCCATTCGTATTTCCAAAAGTTTCCAACAGACTCATGAAACTAAAGTCCAATCAAACAAAAAACAACAAGACAACCTGCTAAACAGTCTCTTACAGAGCAGCGTACAGGAAAAGCACAGCATCCACCGAGGAAAGATTTAATCCAGTCGTACTTTTTCCAGCTGCGCTGAAGTCACGCTCAGACGGGACACTGAACACAGAACGAGCCGGTCGCGCGGATCCGTGTGTGCGCGTGTGCGTGCCGTGAGCAGACTGTCAGTCATATATGTCAGTGTGATAGGTTATAAAACGTCTTTCTATGTTTGCTTTTCAATAGTCATCTTCTCATATTTTATTTTAAGTAATATCTAAAATAGGCTATAAAAAGATGAGCCTAAAACAGGCCCGAGGCCCGGCCCGCGTGTCAACTATGACGTTATTGGCCCGAGGAGTGTAAATAAGTCGTGGCCCGTCGGGCTCGTGACACACACCTGACACACACACACACACACACCCCTGAGGATTTCCCTGCTTCCTGACTCATCAGCAATTCACCTCATCAACTCTTCTCAAGCAGGGCTCAAGATGAATTAATTGATGTGTAATTAATTAGTGTGATGTTTCTGTATGATTGACTGGTGTGTGTTTCCATCAGGCGGCTTTATTTGCAATCGACAGACTGTTTGAACAGACTAATGAACCTCGACCGGTGTTAGTAAGTCACTCACTCTACCTCATCTCCTCACCTGTGTGTGTGTGTGTGTGTGTGAGTGTGTGTGTGTGAGAGTATAAACAAGAAAATATGATTAACTAATATCCTGAAACGTGTGTGTGTGTGTGTGTGTGTGTGTGTGTGTGTAGATTTCCGGCACTATCGTGGATAAGAGCGGACGCACACTCTCAGGTCAGACGGGCGAGGCGTTCGTCATCAGCATGTCTCACGCTCAACCGCTGTGGTGAGAATCTTCATCATCATCATCATCATCTTCAGTCTCTGCAGTGACTCTGTGTTCTCTGACGTGTGTTCTCGTGTTCTCTGATGTGTGTTCTCGTGTTCTCTGATGTGTGTTCTCGTGTTCTCTGATGTGTGTTCTCGTGTTCTCTGACGTGTGTTCTCGTGTTCTCTGATGTGTGTTCTCGTGTTCTCTGATGTGTGTTCTCGTGTTCTCTGACGTGTGTTCTCGTGTTCTCTGACGTGTGTTCTCGTGTTCTCTGACGTGTGTTCTCGTGTTCTCTGACGTGTGTTCTCGTGTTCTCTGACGTGTGTTCTCGTGTTCTCTGACGTGTGTTCTCGTGTTCTCTGACGTGTGTTCTCGTGTTCTCTGACGTGTGTTCTCGTGTTCTCTGATGCGTGTTCTCGTGTTCTCTGACGTGTGTTCTCGTGTTCTCTGACGCGTGTTCTCGTGTTCTCTGATGTGTGTTCTCGTGTTCTCTGACGTGTGTTCTCGTGTTCTCTGACGTGTGTTCTCGTGTTCTCTGATGTGTGTTCTCGTGTTCTCTGACGTGTGTTCTCGTGTTCTCTGACGTGTGTTCTCGTGTTCTCTGACGTGTGTTCTCGTGTTCTCTGATGTGTGTTCTCGTGTTCTCTGATGCGTGTTCTCTGATGTGTGTTCTCGTGTTCTCTGACGCGTGTTCTCGTGTTCTCTGACGCGTGTTCTCGTGTTCTCTGATGTGTGTTCTCGTGTTCTCTGACGTGTGTTCTCGTGTTCTCTGACGTGTGTTCTCGTGTTCTCTGACGTGTGTTCTCGTGTTCTCTGACGCGTGTTCTCGTGTTCTCTGACGCGTGTTCTCGTGTTCTCTGACGCGTGTTCTCGTGTTCTCTGATGTGTGTTCTCGTGTTCTCTGACGCGTGTTCTCGTGTTCTCTGACGCGTGTTCTCGTGTTCTCTGACGTGTGTTCTCGTGTTCTCTGATGTGTGTTCTCGTGTTCTCTGATGTGTGTTCTCGTGTTCTCTGACGTGTGTTCTCGTGTTCTCTGACGTGTGTTCTCGTGTTCTCTGACGTGTGTTCTCGTGTTCTCTGACGCGTGTTCTCGTGTTCTCTGACGCGTGTTCTCGTGTTCTCTGACGTGTGTTCTCGTGTTCTCTGATGTGTGTTCTCGTGTTCTCTGACGCGTGTTCTCGTGTTCTCTGACGCGTGTTCTCGTGTTCTCTGATGTGTGTTCTCGTGTTCTCTGACGTGTGTTCTCGTGTTCTCTGATGTGTGTTCTCGTGTTCTCTGACGCGTGTTCTCGTGTTCTCTGATGTGTGTTCTCGTGTTCTCTGACGCGTGTTCTCGTGTTCTCTGATGTGTGTTCCAGCATCGGCCTGAACTGCGCTCTGGGAGCCAGTGAGATGCGGCCCTTCATCGAGGCCATCGGGAAGAGCACAGGCGCCTTCGTCATCTGTTACCCGAACGCTGGTGAGCCTCACACACACACACACACACACACACACACACCACTGTTGATGAGTAACACTGGATACACACACACAACCAGTTGCGAGCAGGAGAGATTTCTTTTAAAAGCATAAAAATCTCACCGATCCACAACTTTAGACTGGCTGTGTGTGTGTGTGTGTGTGTGTGTGTGTGTGTGTGTGTGTGTGTGATGTTATGATGAAATATGGAGTTATTAGCTGGACGTTTCTGTCCAGCACTGCATGTGTTGAGTGTTGTGTGTCTCTGATCTGTGTTTTCAGGGCTTCCCAACACATTCGGAGGCTACGACGAGACGCCCGAGGTCACAGCGGGGCATATAAAGGTAGCGCAGCGATACACTGACGTGTGTGTGTGTGTGTGTGTGTGTGTGTGGAGTTTCTCATGACACACACACTGTTTTCTTGCAGGAGTTCGCTGTGGACGGTTTGGTGAATATTGTTGGCGGCTGCTGCGGAACGACACCCGATCACATCCGGTGTGTGTGTGTGTGTGTGTGTGTGTGTGTGTGTGTGTGTGTGTGTGAGAGAGAGAGATTCATCCTGACGTCAGAGTGTGTGCTAGTGTTGAGATGGCTGAACTGCAGTGTGTGTGTGTGTGTGTGTTTCAGGGCGATTGCTGAAAGCGTGCGTCATGTGAAGCCCAGAGTTCCTCCCACAGACGTGTTCAGGGATTATATGCTCCTGTCAGGTGCGTCTCAGACCTTCTACCAGACTCAACTCCTCATGTCTCCAGTTTAACTCTCTGGACTACAGACGCAGATTATTGACTTCAGAACATCAGTGTAAAACACTCACAGAGGTTCAGGTTTAGTGTAGAGCAAATGCACTGAAGTAGATGTTTTTATTTTATAATATATATATATATATATATGAAGAGTTCATGCAAAAGCCTCTAAATGCCATTTGAAATTTTCTTCTTTAATGATGATTTTTATCAAACTTGTATATTTAAGTTCAGTAATTTCACTTAAATAACAATTAATAGGTAATTATCATTGTCATTTAGGTGAAATTACTGAACTTAAATATACAAGCTTGATAAAAATCATCATTAAAGAAGAAAATTTCAAATGGCATTTAGAGGCTTTTGCATCTGAACTCTTCATATATAAATATACAAATTTAACACACAAACACACACTCTCTCTCTCTCTCACACACACACACACACACACACTCTCACTCTCCACATGCGATATTGTGTGTGTGTGTGTCAGGTCTGGAGCCGTTCAGGATCGGCCCGTACACAAACTTCGTGAACATCGGTGAGCGCTGCAACGTCGCCGGATCGCGCAGGTTTGCCAAGCTCATCATGGCGGGACAATATGAGGTTTGATTTACAGACAGAACTCACATTCTTTTATTATTAAATGTTGTTACATTGTTAATGAATATAAAAGATGTGTTGATGTGTAACTTTAAGAAATAATCTCTCTGTCTCTCAGGAGGCGTTGAGCATCGCTAAAGCCCAGGTGGAGATGGGCGCTCAGGTTCTGGACATCAACATGGACGAGGGGATGCTGGACGGATGCGCTGCGATGACCCGCTTCTGTAACCTGATCTCCTCTGAGCCCGACATCGCCAAGGTCCAGCTGACACACACACACACATTCACATGAAGCTCCAACTGACCCGGTGACCTCTGCTGACCTCTGACCTCTGCAGGTGCCGCTGTGCATCGACTCGTCGAACTTCGCCGTGATCGAGGCGGGTCTGAAGTGCTGTCAGGGCAAGGGCATCGTGAACAGCATCAGCCTGAAGGAGGGCGAGGAGGAGTTCCTGCGGCGTGCCCGTCTGGTCCGTCGCTACGGCGCCGCGGTGGTCGTCATGGCCTTCGATGAGGAAGGACAGGTGCGGGACTGGCAGAGGACGGTTTCTGTGGATTTGTTGTTGATTGCAATTTTGATAAAAGTTGGGAACCAAACAATTTTGGACCCCATTGACCCTAACCCTAACCCATTGTTTAAACAGAATCAAATAGTTAGTCATGAACTGTGCCATGATTGTTTGTGCTGTAGTGTTTCCCAACCCTGTTCCTGGCGGCACACCAACACTGCGTGTTTTCTTTGTCTCCCTAATCGAAACACACCTGATTCAACTCATCAGCTCATTAACCCACCTGATTATGAGCTGATGAGTTGAATCAGGTGTGTTTGATAAGGGAGACAAAGAACACGCGCAGGAACAGGGTTGGGAAACACAGCTGTATATGACCTGTTTCATCAATGACAAATATGCGTCAGTTGATTAGTTGGTTCAAATTGTGAATTATATGCATTTCAAATATCCATAACTCTTAAATAGGTGTAAATATACATTTTAAAAGATCATGTTCTGTTTTAGGCCTCGTTCATTTAATTCCCTGTAAAGTCTCCTTCATGTTTACAGTACAGATTTTCTCAAAGCAGCTTTACAGAGATAACAGGAAATAATAAGATTGTACAGCAGATCTAGAAGGAAGTTAATGTCCAGCTTGATTGTATATGTTGTGTGTGTGTGTGTGTGTGTGTGTGTGTGTGTGTGTGTGTGTGTGAAGCAGAGAGAGACCTTGACCTACCATAAAGACACTACATGCTAAATATAAAAAACTCCTCTAATAATGAGTGTGAGTGAATCTGCTGACGTGTGTGTGTGTGTGTGTGTGTGTGTGCGTGTGTGTCCAGGCGACTGAAACGGATCAGAAGGTGCGGATCTGTACGAGAGCCTATCAGCTCCTGATCAGTGAGGCGGGCTTCAACCCCAATGACATCATCTTTGACCCGAACATCCTGACCATCGGCACCGGCATGGAGGAGCACTGCATGTACGCCATCAACTTCATCAAAGCCACACGCACCATCAAGGTCTGTCTCTCTCACACACACACACACACACACAAATAATGTTTTTAAGTGGACATAAATAAGTTGTTAAATGTGTGTGTAGGAGAGTCTGCCGGGCGCGAGGATCAGCGGTGGCCTCTCCAACCTCTCGTTCTCCTTCAGAGGGATGGAGGTCATCAGGGAAGCAATGCATGGAGTGTTTCTCTACCACGCCATCAAGGTCAGTCTCAGCTCAGTCTTAGTCTCAGTTCAGTCTCAGCTCAGTTTCAGTCTCGTCTCGTCTCAGTCTCTGCTCAGTCTCCGGTCAGTTTCAGTCTCGACTCAGTCTCAGTTCAGTCTCAGCTTAGTTTCAGTCTCGTCTCGTCTCTGCTCAGTCTCTGCTCAGTCTCTGCTCAGTTTCTGCTCAGTCTCTGCTCAGTTTCTGCTCAGTTTCAGTCTCGACTCAGTCTCAGCTCAGTCTTGTCTCGTCTCAGTTCAGTCTCAGCTCAGTTTCAGTCTCGACTCAATCTCAGTTCAGTCTCAGTCTCGACTCAGTCTCAGTCTAAGCTCAGTATCAGTCTCGGCTCAGTATCAGTCTCGACTCGGACTCAGCTCAGTCTCAGTCTCAGTTCAGTCTCAGCTCAGTTTCAGTCTCGACTCAATCTCAGTTCAGTTCTCAGTCTCGACTCAGTCTCAGCTCAGTCTCAGTCTCGACTCAGTCTCAGTCTCAGCTCAGTATCAGTCTCGACTCGGACTCAGCTCAGTCTCAGTTCAGTCTCAGCTCAGTTTCAGTCTCGACTCAATCTCAGTTCAGTCTCAGTCTCGACTCAGTCTCAGTCTCAGCTCAGTTTCAGTCTCGACTCAATCTCAGTTCAGTCTCAGTCTCGACTCAAGTCTCAGCTCAGTTTCAGTCTCGGCTCAGTCTCAGCTCAGTATCAGTCTCGACTCGGACTCAGCTCAGTCTCAGTTCAGTCTCAGCTCAGTCTCGTCTCAGTCTCGTCTCAGTCTCAGCTCAGTCTCAGCTCAGTCAGTAAAGCAGGTCAGCACTCACTCACACACTAGTGTCCTAGAACTGCAGTCCTGAAACTGAGATCCTGATATTTAATGGATAAGAAGGTTTATTCTTGTACAAACTCGTGAGCAACAGTAAACGTGTGTGTGTGTGTGTGTGTGTGTGTGTGTGTGTGTGTGTGTGTGTGTGTGTGTGTGTGTGTGTGTGTGTGTGTGTGTGTGCAGGATGGCATGGACATGGGGATCGTGAACGCTGGTAATCTGCCGGTGTATGACGACATCGATAAAGAGCTCCTGCTGCTCTGTGAGAACATCATCTGGAACCGAGACCCAGACGCCACAGAGAAGCTCCTGCTGTACGCTCAGGTACTGTAGAGACAGAACCAGAACCCGAGACCGCTACCATCCGCTCAGAACCAGAACCATCCGCTGAACCATGCCAAGAGATCTCAGATCAGCGGAGAGGGTCATGAACTGTGCTGTCCGTCTGTGTTCCTCATGTTGATGTGTTCTGCTGTGTGTAGAATAACGCTAAAGGAGGAAAGAAGGTGGTTCAGACGGATGAGTGGAGGAAGAGCAGCGTGGAGGAGCGGCTGGAGTACGCACTCATCAAGGTCAGTCCACACACTTCACTGCCCATAACACACAATCAGAAGATTGAGAGACCAGACCAAGCTCAACCTTCCCGCCTCTCTCCTGAATGGACTCTGAGTGAGTTAGCCTGCAGTTCCTCCTCTGGCCACTAGAGACTCACTCCCATAGACCTGCATGTTAAAATGACCAACTTTACAGCAGAAAAACACGTGTTTACAGTCATCGTTTAAATTATATTGAGCCTTAAAGTTCTGCATAATTAAGGGCGTGGCCACTTGAGTGACAGGTGGATTGCCGCTGATTAGCCATTTGTGTGCTAGCATTAGCGTCACGTCACCTCAGCTAATCTGCTTTGTTGCACATGTTTGTATTCAGTCTATGGACCAGACATAATGAAGCTGTGTGTGTGTGTGTGTGTGTGTTCTCAGGGAATAGAGAAGCATGTGGTGGAGGACACGGAGGAGGCTCGTCTTCAGTCGGAGCGGTATCCACGGCCGCTGCACGTGATCGAGGGGCCGCTCATGAACGGCATGAAGACGGTCGGAGATCTGTTCGGGGCCGGGAAGATGTTCTTACCTCAGGTACTGGAGACACACACACTGATGATGATGAGGAAGATGATGGTATCAACTCATATTGATTAGCTCGCTTACATCAGCAGAGAAGCTGAAGACGTGGAGCAGCTTTAATGTTGTTTCCCAAAGTGCTTCAGTTTATAATTAATACATGCATATAGCGGTGTCACACGTATCACGATACTGAACTCACCATACTATATTATAAATCCCCTTACACAGCTGAGAGAGAGAGAGAGAAATAAATAAAAATAAGTTTTAATACAATACAATTTTTTTTTTATTACAACTGATTCAAAATAAAGTTTCATGAAGAAGATTTAACATCTACTAAAGAGCAACTGAAGCTTCTCTAGTGGACACAAACTCTCTTAGAAAAAATGTGGATTCAAAAATAGTTATTTTATGGTATCGCTGCCAACCCCCTTTTGGACTACTAATTAATAGAGTGTAAATTGATGTTAGATTATGAATACATCAATCTTTTAAAATTTAGAATAACTAATGAAGCATGTAGAATAATAACATGTTAAACTCGTCATGGAAGGGAAGCGGCGCTGGTCTCTTCTCCTCTGTTGTGTCGT